GAGGGGCCTGGAGCATCTCCCTTCTGAGGAGAGGCTGAGGGACTTGGGTCTTTTGAGTCTGGAGAAGAGAAGGCTGAGGGGGGATCTGATCAATGCTGATAAATACTCAAAGGGAGGGTGTCAGGAGGATGGGGCTGGTCTTTTTTCAGTGGTGCCCAGGGACAGGACAAGAGGAAATGGGGACAAGCTGGAATAGAAAATTCCATCTAAACATGAGGAGGAAGTTCTTTCCTGTGAGGGTGGCAGAGCCCTGGCAGAGGCTGCCCAGGGAGGTGGTGGAGTCTCCTTCTCTGGAGACATTCCAAACCCACCTGGACACGTTCCTGTGGGACCTGCTCTGGGTGGCCCTGCTTTGGCAGGGGGTTGGACTAGATGATCTCCAGAGGTCCCTTCCAACCCCATTCTGTGATTCAGCTGCAGAGGAGCCATTCAGAGGGGACACCTTCAGCAGCACATTTCCATCACGACTCAACCCTCCTTCTCCAAGTTACCCACTGCATTTAAGCGGGAGAAGTAGCACCCATGTGGCTACCAAAGTCCCCAGTGTAGTGTCTCAAGGAGCTGATAGCACCAGGGGGGTGATGAGAAGCCTCATCTGAGGCTCCCCAGCACCAGGGGCATGGTGGAGATACACATTTCTGATGTGTATTCTCATTGCTCACGTTGCTGCCTCTCCCCGCCGGTGGCTGACAGAGCACTGCTGTCAGATTTTTGCCTTGCCCTGTTTATCACTGTCCCCAATTTCCATTTCTTCCTTGTTATAAAAATAAAAAACAAAACCCATCAAATATAACACAGAATTGATTTTTTTTGTTGTTGTCATTGTTGTTGGTTTTTTTGTCACTAACGAGGCTGGGATCTGGCTTCCAGGGTCCCCGCAGCGCAGCCTGCCAGGGGACATGGGAGGAGAAGGGGGCAGAGGCACAAGAAATTATTAACTCTAGAGAAAGACCCACTTGGTAAGAAAAAAGCTCCTAGTTTTGTTCAGAACAAACTGGTAGAGGAAATCCAGTACGGAAAGGAAAGCGTCATTTTCTACACGTTTAGCTCAACAAACCCTTTCCCCAAAGAATCATAGAATCCAGTGGCAATTCATTACCCTGGACTCGTAGCAGCCAAGAAGATCCCACTTTCCGGAGACGTGGGATCAACGCGTGGAGGGGGTCTGACACGTGCCATGGAGATGCAAAGCTCCCCAGTGACCCATCCTGGCACACGGACCTCTCTGTCCTAGGGAGGGAACACATCTCCCGTGAAGGAGACAAAGAGGTGATGGAGGAAGAGCAAAGCTCAAAGTAAATGACAAGACATGGACCCCTAAAAAAGGACAAAAAACTCTAGAGAACAGCTCCGTTTGGGGATGAGGCTTTGGCAGCCTTTGTCACAGGTCTCTACCAAACAAAGCTGAGGAGCTGGGTACTGCCCTTGGAAAGGGGGATAAATCAGTCTTTCAAGAAGAAACCTTTAAGGAAAGACGTATGATGAAACGCTTGAACGTGGCTCCATATCTACTGGCTCCTGCTGGGCGACTCTGGAGATCCATTCCAACAGTGCAGGAACTGCTGTGTGCTTCTCAGCACAGGAAGGACATGGAGCTGTTGGAGCGGGGCCAGAGGAGGCCACGGAGATGCTGGGAGGGCTGGCGCCCCTCTGCTGGGAGGGGGGGCTGAGAGAGTTGGGGGGTTCAGCCTGGAGAAGAGAAGGCTCCGGGGAGACCTTCCAGCCCCTTCCAGTCCCTCAAGGGGCTTCAGGAAAGCTGGGGAGGGACTCTGGATCAGGGAGGGGAGCCCTAGGAGGAGGGGGAAGGGTTTGACCCTGACAGAGGGGAGATGGAGCTGAGATGTGGGGAAGAACTTGTTTGGTGGGAGGGGGGTGAGAGCCTGGCCCAGGTTGCCCAGAGAAGCTGTGGCTGCCCCATCCCTGGAGGGGTTCAAGGGCAGGTTGGAGGGGGCTTGGAGGGACCTGGTGTGGTGGGAGGTGTCCCTGCCCAGGGCAGGGGTGGGACTGGATGGGCTTTGAGGTCGCTTCCAACGCAAACCATTCTATTAAAACATCATCTTGGTGCAAAGGCTCAACTCAGCTTTGAACTACCAAAGGTCCAAGAGGTGAGGAGAGCCTGTTCTCAGATGGTCTCTAATCACATTGGTCTAGGAGTAACCACGAGAGATTTATGGCTCAGAGGTTGGTGAGCCATAAATACTGGAGAGCTGTTGTGCGATGGTCATGTCCAACCCCACAGCAAAGGTTGGGCTGAGTTTCTTATATGCTTGCTCTGCTCTAAAGAGCAGCACTGACTAAAGAGTAAGGAGGAAAAAATGGATTTAACAACTAGAAGAAAAAATAAAATGAAAATATAAGCACAGAGAGTCTTGTCCAGGCAGAGAAACAACATTTTTCTCTCCTAGTCAAAATAAATGTGTGTGTTTGATAGACGCTGGGAGTCTCTGATGAGGGGCTCCAGCAAGGTTAGACATATGGATGGTTACATTCTATTGATCTCACCTTCATGAGACCTGATGGTTGATTCCCTCGATGTCAGACTGAGTTAGTTTGATCGCATAATTTAGAATACCAACAGTGCTTAATGTGGACCAGAAATAATATCTGACATGCTGCCCTTCTGCCGGGCTCTTAATGAGCAATTTGAGGTGTTAATAGCTTGGAGACCATCTTCATCTCCAGCTCTGCCACAGAGGATCACGTGGTGTCTGCTGAGGGACCCGGAGAGAGTACATTACCGCTTAATTAACATGCAGAGCAGAAAAGGGAGCTGTTGTAACGGCCACAGTGCTAACGAGCTGGCGAAGGGGCTCTGCCAACCCCTTTGGAGCAGAAGCTGAGATCCTGCCAAGCGCTCAGGACCCTCAGCTGCCACCGACTCCGCAGAGTTGGGGGACGCAGCATCCGCTGGAAGAACCAGCACCTGCGGGCTCAGGTCCAGCAAAGCCCATTGAGGGGGAGGCAGGGGTAATTAAAAGCTGCAAACTGATTCAGCACTCACCTTTCCAAAAAAAACCTAAATTGGTTCTAAAAAAAAAAATAAAATAAAATAAATAAGAGTAACGATAAACAGGCAATTGGCCAACGAGTGGCCCCAGAGGAAATTAATTCCGCACAGGCTTCGCTGTAATGTGCTTGTTTCTCTGTTATTATAGAATATATGTATTGTTCTATCATCAAAATTAGATTTTTTCCTTTTAGCTTGTAATTAAACCCTAATCTAATTTACCGGGTGATGACAGGGGCCTCCAAGCAGAGCTTTCAGCACCGCTCACCTCCCTCCCCCTGCTTTTAAAGACCTTCCCCTGCATTTTAGGGTCTGTTCTTGGAGGTTCCGTGCATCCAGAGGGACCACATCAAAGGTCTGGTGTTACTTCCAGCTGTGCATGGGCTCCCCCAGCACCCAGCTCTTCTCCCCCAAGCCCTCCCAACAGCAACAGCTCATTTCCAGTCCCCAAGAGGTCCTCTCCTCCGAGCCAGCTCCCCGTTCCCCAAACAAAACAGTTCATTGATGGCTTCTATGACTTGTAACAAGCAGCACTTCCACGCACAACGGGTAACTTTGCTCGGTTTCCTAGGACATTATGGAAAACCCATTTGCTGCCGTAATTAAAGCTGCCCAGACCAGACTTTTGTACTATGCAGTGAGGCCACAGCAGGAGGAATGGATATAAATGTGTTTGTAGACGTGCTTCTCACTACTGCAAGATTGCTCTTGGGCTCAGAAGCCACAGGCCAGCGCTAGACGTAGACCAACGTCTACAGCCGGACCCAAAGCCACAGCAGAACTTGAGGTTTTACTGTAAAAACACTAAAAAGCTGTTTTGTGAATGTGACGGGCAGTTTGACAGATGAAAACTCACTTCTCCAAAGCAGGGGTTGCCTCAGGCCACCAAGGTCTGAGAAAGCATCTTTCCTTCCCAAGGGAACCAGTATGGGGGCTACGGCAAAGCAACAGCCAGAGACTGGGACACTGTGAAGGTTCTTAGGATGAAGTGACAATAAATGGGGTTGGCAGGGAAGGAAAACAGGTCACGTTGTGTACCTGCTTGTCCCAGTGGCCAAGCATGGGTTTGTACCTCCAGAAATAAAGTAGGACTGTAGGTTACGGGCTATACAGAAAGTGTTGGTCGTATCTTACAACCCCAGCTTTGCTGGAGAACAGGACATCAGGATGACCTTGAGCCAGCAATATGCCCTTGTGGCCAAGAAGGTCAATGGTCTCCTGGGGTGCATTAAGAACATCACGGCCAGCAGGTGGAAGGAGGTCATCCTGCCTCTCTGCTCTGCCCTGGGGAGGCCTCATCTGGGGCAGTGGGTCCAGTTCTGGGTTCCCCAGTTCAAGAAGGACAGGAGAGGGTACAGCAAAGGGCTACAAGGATGAGAACATCTCTCTGATGAGGAAAGGCTGAGGGACTTGGGTCTCCTTAGTCTGGAGAAGAGAAGACCGAGGGGGGGATCTCATAAATGATTATAAATACTCAAAGGGTGGGTGTCAGGAGGATGGGGCCAGTCTTTTTTCACTGGTGCCCAGGGACAGGACAAGAGGAAATGGGCACAAACTTGAATGTAAGAAGTTCCACCTAAACATGAGGAGGAACTTCTTTCCTGTGAGGGTGGCAGAGCCCTGGCAGAGGCTGCCCAGGGAGGTGGTGGAGTCTCCTTCTCTGGAGATATTCAAACCCCACCTGGACACGTTCCTGTGGGACCTGCTCTGGGTGGACCTGCTTTGGCAGGGGGTTGGACTAGATGATCTCCAGAGGTCCCTTCCAACCCCTGCCAGCCTGTGATTCTGTGAGAATGCTGTCTCTTTCCCAGCGTCACATTGGTGAAGATCACCTATTCCCTGAGCATCCACCCTGACCACCGCTGGTAGGTGTCATTTTGACAAAGGAAAGTTGAAGACAATTTGTCAGATCCCAGGGAAACAAGCCTTGCAAAGGACAAACAGAACAACAGAAAGGAGGAGAACTTCAAGGAGAGGACAAAGCTGCACGTACCTCATCTGGCTCACTTGGCTGTCTGTCAGGAAGGACCAGTGGTACCGGACGAGAAGTGGGCTGCAGTTGGTCATCTCGATGTAACGCACATCTTCAGTGTCGTTCAAGATGCAGCCAAAGTCCACGGCTGTGGTCTGAAGACAGAGATTCGGAAAGTAGACTTCTCCCCGAACGGTGACCCGCTCCTCATGAGGATGCTCAAGAAACTGTATCTTCAGAGACTTCTCTACCACCCGGATACTCAAATCCTCTTTATAAGCAGGGTCAAACCTGATGGAGAGATGAAGTTCCTCCCCTGTTTCCAGCTTCAAGGGCTGCAAGGAGATGAAGAGCACTAAGCACCAGTGGGGTAAGGTCCCAAGGTCTGACAGCATGAAATGTGTAAATGCTCCAAGTGTGACCCCAACGTATGCTTCTCAGTTCAACATTTTCTTCACAATATGTCCTTGACTGCAAGCACCACAACACTCCTGTCTGAGACTTTCTCAGGCTCAGCTCTGCGCTGTGCATCGACGCAAGAGGGAAATAAATATTGCTCCCCTGAATTCTGAACCCACAAAGGCTTAAATACACAACCAAACTGGCACTATGGCACACCAAGGCCTTTTGCCTTGACATTAGAGGGGCTCCTTTATCCTTACAGCAGCCTCACCCTGGCACTGGCGTGGCACAGAAGTGGTGGCCATGCCTACGACAACGTGTTTAGCCAAGTCCACGTCCAACACCTTCCGCCGACAACGGGGCAGGTGCCAGGCAGAGGCTGGAGGAGCATCCTTAGTCTTCCTGACAGCAGGGCCACCCTTGAGGTTATCTGAGAACGGCTGCTGGAGAGCTGGGGTGGCTTCCAAGAGACACCTTTACTACATGGCTTGCCCCGACCTAGTTCCCTGCTCCCCTCTCCTCATGCCTTAAAGCCAGGATGTATTTCCCCAGTTCAGATGATACTTCATTTCCTTCAGTAGCTCGTTTTGCATCTTTCCCCCTTCCTCCCCCCTATACCCTTTATTCCCATCCCCTGTCTGCCCTCTCACCTTTCTTCTCCCCCACTCTCTTTCTCTCCTCTCTTCCCCCCCGTACCCTTTATTCCTGTCCCCTCTTTCATCCCCTCTTCCTACCCCCCTCATTTCTCCCCTTTCCTCCTTGTTCCCCCCCAGTTCCCCCTTTCTCACCTGTCCCCTATCCACCCATTTCACTTTTCTTTCCCCCTCCTGTCCCCTGTCCGCCCTTCCTGCTTTTCTTTCCTCCCTGATCCCCATTTTCCTCCTTTCCTTCCCTCCCTGTTTCCCTTTGCTTTTCCCCTGTCTCCCTTTTCCCCTTTCTTTCCCACATCTGTCCCCCTTTCCCTTCTTTCCCCGATTCTCCCCCTCGTGTTCCCTGTCCCCCATTCCCCCTTTTTCCCCACATTGTCCCCTGTTCCCCTGGTTTAGTTCAGGTCAGTCTACCGCTGACTCTAAAGACTAAACTTCTCTACTTGAGAACCTCCCAACACACACGTCCCACCACTCTCCTCCCTCTTCAGACCCCAGGAGCAGGAGGGTCCATGGCTGCTCACCTGGACAGGGAAGGGTTGCCCATCTGCATCACAGATTAAGAAGGGCTGCTCCAAGGCCAGGACAATGCTGAGTGGCAGGGAGGAGAAGTTTTTCAAAGAAAGAGGCTTGTACTGAAGAGTTAGGACATCGCTGGGTTGCTACAGAAACAGGAGACAAGGGAAAAAAAAAAAGCAACCTGAAGTGGCCATGACCTCCTTCCCTTTCTGATGCGTTTCGTATTTTTCAACCTCAAAAGCAGATACACCTCTATTTACTATTTTTATCAGTTTCTAAAAAGCCTTCTAGAAGTTTATCTCTAAGTATATCGGATGCTTTCCATGTTTAGAAGCCACAGCATCCCCCGGGGGACAGGGAAACAGTGTCATGTTCAGATGAGGGAATAGGACCATGAGAGGAGGCAGCCGCTTGAATGAGACCCAAACCAGAAAGTTTGTTTCTGGTTTTGTACCTTCTCTTGGGCAGAATGGCCCAAGATATTTTTTTTGGCTCACATAGAGTGATTTCTTATAGACATATGGGCTCTAGACATAAAGGCAGCAAGGTGGGTCAGAGGAGAAAAGCAAGCATGAATGTAAGAAGTTCCACCTAAACATGAGGAGGAACTTCTTTGCTGTGAGTTGGACTAGATGATCTCCAGAGGTCCCTTCCAACCCCGTATCATTCTGTGATTTGGCCCGTAGTGAGAGCCTGCGGGAGCCTAAGGTTGGCTTGGAGCATTTATTTGCACATGGAGCCAGCCAGAAACCTCAACAGCTCGTTCGCAACGTGTCTCCCGCTGCCCCTGCTATGGTGACAAGGTGTCTCTAACCCTCAAAGCTGAGCTCAGCCTCAGCCATTTCTTCCCCTTTCTGCCTTTCTCTGGGCTTCCCGCATGGTTTGTGTAAACCATAGGGTGTTTGGGAAACGAGTTCTGGGCTGTGTTGACATCAAACGAGCTGCAGCGCGTGTAGCACTCGATAAACCGGAGCGCCCGGCATCAAGCAGACCACAGGCAGAACGTCAGGGAGAGCTGAAAAGCTTCTCATTAAAAATCCAAACCGCCTGCTCACAGGATTTTTGTGCTTCTCTGGAACCAGAGGAAAGGCCTGAAAACACAGGAACTAACTAATGAAATGGCTTCTCTTTTTCAGACGCCTCGTGGGAAGGGGGGGGAGATGATAGAGTCAGGAGGCAGAGACTAAAGGGCACCTGCTTTGCGTTGGTGTTACCATCGCTGCAGCTGAAGGACGTCTGCAGGTCCTTTGAAGGAGGGAAGGCTTGGGGAAATGCATCCATACCAACAGCAGGGAAGGAAAAGAGGGACAAGAGATGACGTTTTTTTCCTCGTCAGCCCGAGGAACTGTCAGCAATCTCAGGTTTTCTCAGCTCCCCTCCAGGACTGCTGTTTGGACTTCACTGTGCCTTGGAGGATCCTCAAAAACCTCCCTTTGTACCGAGAACAGGAACCGGTGTCTCTCTAGAAAGATCACACACGGTTTGTGTAAACCATAGGGCATTTGGGAAACGAGTTCTGGGCTGTGTTGACATCAAACGAGCTGCAGCGCGTGTAGCACTCGATAAACCGGAGCGCCCAGCATCAAGCAGACCACAGGCAGAACGTCAGGGAGAGCTGAAAAGCTTCTAATTAAAAATCCAAACCGCCTGCTCACAGGATTTTTGTGCTTCTCTGGAACCAGAGGAAAGGCCTGAAAACACAGGAACTAACTAATGAAATGGCTTCTCTTTTTCAGACGCCTCGTGGGAAGGGGGGGGAGATGATAGAGTCAGGAGGCAGAGACTAAAGGGCACCTGCTTTGCGTTGGTGTTACCATCGCTGCAGCTGAAGGACGTCTGCAGGTCCTTTGAAGGAGGGAAGGCTTGGGGAAATGCATCCATACCAACAGCAGGGAAGGAAAAGAGGGACAAGAGATGACGTTTTTTTCCTCGTCAGCCCGAGGAACTGTCAGCAATCTCAGGTTTTCTCAGCTCCCCTCCAGGACTGCTGTTTGGACTTCACTGTGCCTTGGAGGATCCTCAAAAACCTCCCTTTGTACCGAGAACAGGAACCGGTGTCTCTCTAGAAAGATCACCCTGCTCGGTGGAGCAGCTGAAATCTCAATCTTACTTCATTGAAGATAAAAACCAGTCCCATCTCTGAAAACATCCTCGCTTCCTTTCTGAAGCACCTCAGGAAGGGTGAGGAGGGGGTTTAGCATGACCCAGCCATGGCCATCTGCTCTCCCACCTCCAGGCCCAGAACATGAGATGCAGGTCCCAAGCCCCACACTGTCCTCCTGGGTCCCACACATCTCACCCTGTGCCCTTGGCTCTGCAGCTCAATTCCATCTCCACATCAAGAAGGGCAGAAGAGAGCTGGTGAGACTGTCCCCCAACCCAGAGAAGTGAAATAATGATCTCAGTGTTAACAGCAGAAGCTTGGTACTGCTCCAATCAATGGGCAAAGCTCCATGAACTTGGAGAAGCTAAGTTTCTCCTTTGAACTTAATCACACACACTCCGAAGGCCTTCAACTCATCATCCACACTATTAAACACCAGGATGAAATCCAGAGACTTACCTTCTTCACCCGGAAAGCAATTTCTCTGGAGGACATTTGCAGAACAGGAGCCACGAACTCGCACGTGACGTCCACCTGCATGATCTGTGTCTTCCCTGCCTTGCTCCCCACCATGGCATGGCACAGGAGCCGCTCCTTCACCACCTGTGTGCAAGAGTCACACGTCACCCAGTAGGTGCCAGCAGGGTGTCCAGAAAACACATTTTGGTAGCCACCCAACCCTCAACATAAAGGAGTCTGAAAGCCTGGATAAAAAGCAGGCCATGGGATCTTGGCCATCAATCGTCAGCAGGTATCACTGCAGGAGTGCTGCCTCCAGCTCTGGGGCCACCAACAGCAGAAGGACATGGAGCTGTTGGAGCAGGGCCAGAGGAGGCCCCGGAGATGCTGGGAGGGCTGGAGCCCCTCTGCTGGGAGGGGGGGCTGAGAGAGTTGGGGGGTTCAGCCTGGAGAAGAGAAGGCTCCAGGGAGACCTTGCAGCCCCTTCCAGTCCCTCAAGAAGGGGGGCTCCAGGAAAGCTGGGGAGGGACTCTGGATGAGGGAGGGGAGCCCTAGGAGGAGGGGGAAGGGTTTGACCCTGACAGAGGGGAGATGGAGCTGAGATGTGGGGAAGAACTTGTTTGGTGGGAGGGTGGTGAGAGCCTGGCCCAGGTTGGCCAGAGAAGCTGTGGCTGCCCCATCCCTGGAGGGGTTCAAGGGCAGGTTGGAGGGGGCTTGGAGCAACCTGGTGTGGTGGGAGGTGTCCCTGCCCAGGGCAGGGGGTGGCTTTGAGGTCCCTTCTCACCAAACCATTCTATGATTCCTGCCAAAAAGTTACAGTCTCTGCTCTCTTCAATAGCCCCTTTTTCATTTTATGCTGCACTCTACCTATTCTGCACTCAAATGTCCATAGTGCTACACCATAACACCCACAAAAAGCACTTCTGCATCATGTGCTGCTTACGATTGTAATAATCCCTGCCCCAAGTGATTATTGCTTTGATGTGCCCCATTGCTAAGCATAATGCTTAGAGTAGGAACTAATTTAAAAACAACCCCACAAACTCTATGAAGGGAAAGAGGCGATAGAAAGACTCATGGCAGCAAACCTTCCCTTGGAAGCTCAGTGGAAAGGATCCATGGGAACAACTCAAAGAGCCAGCCTGTCTTGGGGGTAAAGAGGGGATTGCTCACTCCTAGGACATACTGTGCTCTCCTAGAGCCGTTTTTAAAAGAAATCTCCCCAGGGAAACTGATATCTTGCACTCACATGAAAACGCTCTGCTTAAGCTGGATGCTTTTACATTCAAGACTTTTTCCTGATTTCTCATGGTTTCACTTCTCCAAATTCCTCCCTTTATTTTCTCTCTCTTTCCCTGGTACAACACCACTACCCAGCTCCTCCTTGGAGCCCTTCAAAATCATCTCTGCTGCACATGCAATGCAAAGAGTTGGGCTCCTGGCCAACCTGAAGAGTATGAAGCTCTCAAGACCCAAGCAAGGTGGACTGCCCACTCCCCACAGGGTCTTGGCTTTAACTCCAAGAACCAGGTAGCCACAGATGCCCTTTCAGCTTTCCAGGGAAGATGTCCTCTCCAGTGCCCTGAGCATTTTTTTTCCTTTCTGGTACCTTTTTCCCCCTCTTCAGCAAAGCCTTTGGGCTCAGAACTGCATAGGTGCAGTCCCTTTGCAGTCAGGTGTGTGGATAATCACAGAATCACAGAATCTTCTAGGTTGGAAGGGACCTTAAAGATCATCTTGTCCAACCGTCAACCTAACTGACAAAAATAGACACCCGCACAACAAACAAGGAGCATCATCACTAAACCAGACCTCCCAGCACTACATCAACCCGTCTTTTGAACACCTCCAGGGATGGGGCCTCAACCACCTCCCTGGGCAGCCCATTCCAATGGCTGAAAGTCTTCTTCAAGCTACCACTGAGGCGACCCTTCAAAACGCCTTTCAAAACACCAGGAGCAGCAGGAGCTTAATGCAGATTTATTCCACATTCGCTTAAATATCTGTGCCCAGTGGTCCTGGGGCCAGGGAACGCACACCAGGGTTAGCTATGGCTTCTCTGCAGAGTTGGGTTTCCCCTGGAAAGAAGGGGCTGGGGAGGAGAGGACCCAGTGATCCTGCTGAAATCCCCCTCTCTGAGCTGCCATCCGTGAGTGCCTCCAGACCTGGCTGCCCTTGGGACAGCTGAGAGACCAGGGCGAGCTGTTATGGAAATATTGACAAAAGTCAAGCTGTCAATTATAATGATCCCTGGGAACAGTTTCCCACACAGAGAACGTCACTCCGATCATTAGAGCTGACACATGGTGTTTGTTTTTCTCCTCCAGGACTCGGTGCTAGACGAGCCCTCTGCCCATCTTTGTCTGCAGAGGAAAAACGATGCTGCTCCCAGACACTCCCCCCTCCACAGTTTTTACTCACTGCTTTCCCCAGATATATTACTTGGCTCTTTTTTTTTTTTTTTTATTTATTTACTTTCTGCCTGTGCTCCTAGGCTAAGCATAACTTATTTTCCCTGCCTTTCCTCTCTTCCCTGGCACGCAACACCTCGTAACCTGCCATTTGCCCCTCAAGTCACAACGCTTCCTTCAGCCCGTGTTTTGGTACCAGCAAGTTGGGGTTATGGTAACTATAGAAACACACACACAAAAAAAAGCCCTTAGCAACTGATGGTGGCCAGCAAGGAAAGCAACTGGTGCTGCCATGGTAACCTGTGGCATTAAAACACTTTCTTGAAAGCATTTGCTCATTTTCTCATGAGAATGTCAAGGGGCTGCAGAAGGAGCCCCAGTGGAAGGCATGATGGGGAAGGCTCAGCACTCGTGGGGGACCTCACCTGTGGAGTGCTGGAGGAGCCTTCCAGCATCATCTCCATAGTCTCTCCAGGCATCAGCTCCATCCTCAGTGGTCGAAGCTTAAACACTGGGCTGGGGGGTCTGGGGCGCCGGGAGGAATCTTTGCCCTTGGTGTTGCTGATGGCAGGGAGACGATCCCGCTGGCGAAACGGGGCAAAACCTTCTGTCGTCCAATAGAGCTGATGGATCCGTCGTCCTTTGTTGGTTATCTTGAAGTGGTAAGAGCAGGAATCCAGGCTAGAAGAGAAGCAGAGATGGAAAATGTCATGGGAGCTGCCACTTCCCAGTGCTCTCCCACATTCAGTGCCCTGATGGCCTTGTGTGACCCCACAGTCAGCAATAAATCCTCCTCCGAAAAGGCTGACCAAGCTCAAAGTTTCAGCAAGAGCCAGACCTTGGTTGCCCCTAAGTTTAACACCATCCAGCAGCTGCTGTGTCTGAGTACAGCAAGGAAAAGCTTCATGGAGAACATCACCATGACCTCAGCAGCTTCAAGAAAAAGCATCACCAGCCTTTGGTCCTCCTCCCTTTGAGAGTTTTTCCGAGGTTCTTCCTGCAGGTCACAGAATCACAGAATGCTATGGGGTTGGAGAGACCTCTGGAGATCATCTAGTCCAACCCTCCACCTAGAGCACGTTGCACAGGAATGGTCTCGCTCCATCACATGTGAAGCTGACCTGTCCTGGCTGCAAATAGAAGGAAGACAAGGTTTGCTGCCATTTCACCTCCCCTTTGGGAGCTGCTGCCTCAGGTTGCTTCCTCTGAAGATGCTATTTAGGACCTGCAGGGTATATAGTCTCCTCTGGTGACCTGGGCACCACCTGTCTCACTCGTGAGGTCCCTGCACTCAGTCTCCCCGCCCCTTGGGGAGCATCCAACTCTCGTCACCCTTTGCTGGAATGGCACAGCTGGTCTGTGTTTTAGGAAGACAAACCAACACAGGATGAACAGAAGCTTCCCTGCTAAGAACACGGCAGCAGGACCAGGTCTCGCTGCTGAGGGAACAGAGCGACAACAAGAGATGAATAACGGGAGCTAGATATGAACCAAAATGAATATTCAATGGAAATTGATTCCTTCAAGTGAAGGAACACTAACTACAGGCTCGTCTGGAGGAATTATTTTACCCGCTGTAAATCTGAGTATGAGCAGGAAATGAATTGTTCCTGGAACAGTTATTGTCTTTTTGAAAAGTACAGAATATGTGGCTTCCTAACTGCACCTCTGCCGTAAGCAATGAAACACACACACAGGGGTGGTGGTATAGAACAAACCAGCCTGAAACAAGACTGTTTAAAGAAATGATGTATACAAGCTCAACGGTATGAGTGCAACCAGGACGATGTATGGTGGTCAACCAGGCCAAATGTGAGGTCCTGCAGTGGGTCGGGGCAATCTCAAGCACCAATAAAGGCTGGGCAGAGAATGGATGGAGAGCAGTCCTGAGGAGAAGGACTTGGGGGTGTTGATGGAGGAGAAGCTCCACACACCCTGGCAACTTGCGCTGGAGCCCAGAAACCCCCCATACCCTGGGCTGCATCCCCAGCCCCGTGGCCAGCAGGGAGAGGGATGGATGGGGGGGATTCTGCCCCTCTGCTCCGCTCTGGAGAGACCCCCCCAGTGCTGCCTCCAGCTCTGGGGCCACCAACAGCAGAAGGACATGGAGCTGTTGGATGGGGCCAGAGGAGGCCCCGGAGATGCTGGGAGGGCTGGAGCCCCTCTGCTGGGAGGGGGGGCTGAGAGAGTTGGGGGGTTCAGCCTGGAGAAGAGAAGACTCCAGGGAGACCTTCCAGCCCCTTCCAGTCCCTCAAGGGGCTCCAGGAAAGCTGGGGAGGGACTCTGGATCAGGGAGGGGAGCCACAGCAAAAGGGGGAAGGGTTTGACCCTGCAAGAGGGGAGATGGAGCTGAGATGTGGGGAAGAACTTGTTTGGTGGGAGGGTGGTGAGAGCCTGGCCCAGGTTGGCCAGAGAAGCTGTGGCTGCCCCATCCCTGGAGGGGTTCAAGGGCAGGTTGGAGGGGGCTTGGAGCAACCTGGTGTGGTGGGAGGTGTCCCTGCCCAGGGCAATGAGGTGGAAATGGAGGTCCCTTGCAACCTAAACAATTCAATAAGTTTAAGTTTAGTATGAAATTTATCTGTGGTTTATCTGTGGACAGCAACAGCCAAACGCTTGGAGCAGCTCTGGGTAGATGCAGAATTTGTGGCTCTGTAAAATGTCACCCTGGTCCCACCTCAGCTCACCTGGTGGCAGCTCTGCAATGGCAGCAACTCCAAACTGAGCCTGAAGGCGAAGATGTGAAGGGGGCAGGGGACAAGGACATGAACCACACCAACGTTGTCCCCTGCATTGTGCAGCCACAAATTGGCTACACAGAGCACAGGAAACGCTGGACAAGCACCAGCCTCCCCCTTCGGGTGGATGGTTTATGGCTTTAAACCCCCAAAATCTATCCTAAATATTTAAGGTAGGATTAAGCTGCACTTTCTACCCCAAAATTTAGCCATGGGAGCACTGCAGATCCTCTTTGCAGCCAGGGAAAGGAACAGGCACCTTGAGAAGACCAGTCTTCTTCTCCCAAGAGGCCTCCAACACAAGGCACTCTGAAAAGGCTTATTTTCCTCCCATTTATAAGGCGTTTGTGTCTGAAACCAGGTACGTTCTTGGGATCAGTGAGTCCCCTGCTCCCAGCTGAGCTTTTTCAATTAGCACTCTCAATTTATCCCGCCCAACCTCAGCAGGCTTCTCCTCCTCTCCCATTCAGAGCTGGTTCCTCAGCCACCTTCGCTTGCCCGCGCCCCGGGCTGCTTCTGATGGAGGAGACAGCGAGGAAAACAGGCAGGAAAAGCCAGGAAAGAAGGAATCCATCCAATAAAGAGCAGCCCGGCAGGGGAGCCAGGGAAAACGAGTGAACCGAGGGATGATACAGGGCAAAGACAAATTCCACTGCTCCTCCAAGACTCCTGGGCGGAGGGGAAATAAAACAGCACCATTAATTTAGTCGAGGAGTCGATAACAAGCTACCGCCCAAGGTCTTCTCCGCTGTTGTGAGATGATACTCCACAGTGAGTGAAAAAGCAAAGCAACGTTACTGCGAAGGGAAAGATGGTTTTACTCGTAACGGAGTGTTTTCCAGCCCGAGGCTTCCAGGACCTGCTGTTTTCCTCCAAACCTTTATTTGATAAAGCGAAGAAATAAATGTATTATAACTAAGGACAATTCAGCGACAATTTAGCAACTGGTGCCCATTTGGGTGGCTTTTGATGGCTCCTAATGACTTTCAAACGGCCATAAAATGTTTCTAAAGGAATTCCCGTGGCTTCAGTGACATGGGGCCAGGACCTTAAGTACTGAAGAAGAACTGGCCTGAAGGACTACAGCAAAAGAAGAAACGGCCTTACGTTGTGCCAGGGGAGGTTTAGGATGAAACTTAGGAACAATGTCTTCACCGAAAGGGTGATCAAGCACTGGAAGAGGCTGCTCAGGGAAGTGGTGGAGTTGCCATTCCTGAAGGTATTTAAAGCCGGACAGAGGTGGTGCGGAGGGACATGGGTTAGTGGTGGGTTTGTCAGTGTTGGGTTGATGGTTGGCCTTGATGATCTGAAAGGTCCCTTCCACAGAATCACAGAATCTTCTAGGTTGGAAGGGACCTTAAAGATCATCTTGTCCAACCATCAACCTAACTGACAAAAATAGACACCCACACAACAAAGAAGAAGCAACACCATCACTAAACCATACCTCCCAGCACTACATCAACCCATCTTTTGAACACCTCCAGGGATGGTGCCTCAACCACCTCCCTGGGCAGCCCATTATAATGTCTGATAACCCTTTCAGTGAAAAAAGTTTTCCTAATATCCAGCCTGAACCTCCCCTGGTGTAACTTGAGGCCATTCCAACCTGGACAATTCTATGGTTCTAAACCTCCTACTTGCTGAGCCCCTGGGAGAAGTGGGAGCTGAGAGAGACCCTACCTGAAGTGTGGCCCCAAGTTGAGCTCTGGAGCGAAGGGTTTGTCGGTGACAATCGTGGTGCCGATGCCGACGGCCCGCACAGGGATGACGTAAGTATGGCTGTTCTCTATGAACAGGTTCAACTCATCCTTGAACTTCTCGGTGTCGTCCAAGTTTGCTGTGACAGTCAGAGACACCTCGCTCTCGGGGGGGATCACACCTTTACTGGGTTCAACCCTCCAGCGTGAGCATTTCCCAGCCTGTAAGAGAAGCCAAACGCTAACTTAGGATGGAAACCATGGACCCTGGTCCCTTGTAGGGTGCAGGAAAAGGGAAGAGTAAACATATGAGGGTGAAAAACATAAAGGTTTAATTTCCCTAAATGTTGTGTCTGAAAACAACAGCTTATACAACCTGTATTTTACCTTCCTTTTACAGACTCACTTCATTAACCCAGTTTCTCCCAATCCCAAGGGGTGCTCATCCTCAGAAGGTTACTCCCCTCCTCCTTCAGTCCCTCCTTTGGAGTGGACACCAAGGGAAGTTACTTTTTTTCTCCTGGCTTCCTCACAACAGTGGCCAGGTTGGCATAAAGGTTCGAGGCCAGAGGACGCCCGGTTTGCTCAAATCCCACAGCAGCAGCCACAGAGCCTGAAGAATAACTCTGTAAAACTGGTTGATCAAAACCCCAACACCAAAAAGTCCTCTTGCCCATTAGTTTGGTGGTTTTTCTCCACTGCCCCTGAAGGACTGGAGCGCTCAGTTCCCACCCATCATCAGCTGCAGCGAGATGCCCCACTGTCCTTGGCTTTGGAAAATTTGGTTATAAGTGTCTACACAGCTGGGCGGTGAAGAGATAAGCAGAAAAAAAAATGCAAGACATGCCCTGTGGACACAGCTCAGGCTTCCCAAGCGCTCTCTTCCTCTGGTTTCTCATGGACCCTCCACCATAAGTGGGGCAATAAGGGAGCTGGACCCCCAGCCCATCTAAAACCATATTCTCAGGGAGCAAGCCTGCAGCAGACACAGAGATGCACGCAACGCTCCCAGGACAACATAAAACCCACTGGGATGGAGGTGTAACCGCTTCCAAACATCCATCATGGTGATAGTGGTACGTGCACCACAGTCCCATGCTGTGTTTGGGACAACAGGCACTACTCACCCAAAACACCGCCGTATGCTAAGGGAAGAGGGTTTTTTTTCTTTTATTTTTTTTTTAATAAGGAGCAACAACGTGCTTGGAGGACTGATATAATCCAAGCAACTGCTTGATCTAGCTGAAGTTAGCTTCTATCCATCAGGCTGGTGGCACTGAGCTCTAACAGGACACCATCCAGCCTAAGAGCGTTAAAAAACCAACTGAAAATCAGAGAGGGACTTTTTAGAGGGCATGTAGTGATAGGATGAGGGGAAACAGCTTTAAACTGAAAGAGGGGAGATGGAGCTGAGCTGTGGGGAAGAACTTGTTTGGTGGGAGGGTGGTGAGAGTCTGGCCCAGGTTGGCCAGAGAAGCTGTGGCTGCCCCATTCCTGGAGGGGTTCAAGGGCAGGTTGGAGGGGGCTTGGAGCAACCTGGTGTGGTGGGAGGTGTCCCTGCCCAGGGCAAGGGGTGGCACTGGGTGGCCTTTAAGGTCCCTTCCAACTCAAACCATTCTATGATTCTAAAACCAAGCAGCACTTCAAAGTCATGGAAAGCATTTTAAATAATCCCCTAAAACAACCTCTGCTAATGATGAGGATAAGCCTCGCTGGAAGCCAGGGAAGCAGTAACTTGCTGACCATTTAGGGTCCCAACAGTATGTGTAGGTGCCCCAGCTTCAAGAACTCCTCCAGCTGATTGCACCCTGCATGGAGAGCAGGGCAGGTCTCCATCCCTGCGTCCCAGGATGGAGCATGCCAAAGGCATCAACATTATTCCAGGCGCTGGCAAAATTAATCAACTCGGCTACATTTCATTTGTCCTCTAGAGCTGCAAGAGAAAGTCTTTAAAAAAAAAGAAAAAAGCAAGATGAGGATGGGATGAGGGCAGTCAGCACAGGGTAAACTCGGGGCTCTGCTTCTCCAGGGGGAGCAGGCTTGGCTTTTTTCACTCCTGCATCTTCCACTTTCATTACTACCTGCAACCTCCTCCCTCCACTCTTCTATTTTAGGACCTCATACTCTGTTAAGGAATGTTCTTATATTCCCCCTGTTGAGGTTTGGCTAGTTCTCCTTTTGTTTTCTGCACCCCCGACCCTCCTTGGCTGTGGAGAAGATGCAGTGCTTGAGAATCAGGCTGATCCTCAGGGTGTCTGGCTTGACTGGAAGGTGGCAAACAAAGCAAAATCTGTCAGCAGAGCTCCACCTGGTACCCAGAGACACTACAGTCACTGAAACCCCATCAAAAACCAGCACCAAATTCATTTTCATCTCAAAGGCCAGTGAAGTACACAACCCCGGGCAGAAAGAAGACTGACCTCACTCGCATCAGATCCCACCAACCTTCTTCTGTTGTCCCTCCACCCCAGGTTAGCCTCAGAGGCATCCACTGGGCTGCCATCAGCCAAGAGCTACCCAGCCAACGCCTCCACGCCGAGCCGGTGGGGTGTTAGGGTTTCACTGACATTAATGTACAACTTTTCCTCTGATTCATGATGACACAGGGTAGCTCGCTCGAAAAGGAGACCTGATAGCTTTGCTCCAGAGGTGAATCTGCAAGCTGACAAAGCTCATTTATCAAAGCCTGGCAACAAGCCGGGCAGTAAATTGTACCCAAGAAGCTATTACTGAGGAATAATGATAGGCTGTCTCCACGGAGCCAGACTTTGAATTTGCTAGGGTGACCCAGTGCAGACCCACCATGCCCTGGCCAGGCCACCAGCCCGCTCTGGAGGAGGATGGTTTGTATGGTGTCCTCATTCCTTCAGCTCCTGTTTGGTGTGGGTCCAAGGGGAAGGAGATCTGCCAGCACTGACAGGCTCTGCTGGGCCAGATTCCTGCTGGTTTCTAGGTCAGCTTCTACCTACAGCCATCCAGGCTGCGTCCCCGAGACAAGAAGTCTCTTGGAGCCATGCTAAAAACCTCCATCCCTTTAGAGACCAAGAATCTGACTTCTGAGAACACCCCTGCTACTTGCTTATCCCTGGATGCTCTAGAAAATGATGCAGTAGCTGGATGCATGGGATAGACAAAGACGGGGGCTGTTTCTGACCCTGGAGGACCTGGCACTATTGGACATCAGAGTCTCTGAGTGCTAGGCAAGGGTTGGGATCAATCAAGAAGTTCAACACCGAGATCTTTAGCTTCTCCCTGGACAGGTTTCCATTGTGAGTAAGAGCTGCCAAAATTAACCATGGTTATAAGGGAGACCAGCAAGAGATAGACAGCCGGCTGCCCCAAGGGACAAACGAGGAGCCACCACGCTCACTTTTCTTGAAGCTACTTACAGCTAGTTAATTAGTGTGAGTGGTCATTCTGGCCTGGCACGAGCGACAGAGGCAGCAGAACTCACTATTAAAGATGTGGCTGTACGTTACCAAGCCACAGCAAGAGTGCTCACACCAGGTCAGGCAGAGGCATCACTCCTCCTGGAGGTTGCATGAAGAGGAAATAAACCCCCATCAGTTGTGCAGAGCTTTGCCCCAGGTGTTTTAGCAGCCCTGAGGTGGGGGACTCTGTGGTCTTCGTTTCAAAGCTACTCTTTATCTGCACAAACTATCAGTGATAGGAAACAGCCCAAAAGCATCCTAAGTCCCAACAGGAGATGGAGATCATAGAATGGTTTTGGTTGGAAGGGACTTCAAAGATCATCCAGTCCCACCCCCTGCCCTGGGCAGGGACACCTCCCACCACACCAGGTTGCTCCAAGCCCCCTCCAACCTGCCCTTGAACCCCTCCAGGGATGGGGCAGCCACAACAGATCAGTGTGATACTGGTTAGATGCTCCCAACAACAACCAGAGCTCCTCCTGGCACCTCCGCACCAGCACCTCCTCGGCAAAAGCACGAGGACCACCTGGGTTCAGCCCCTGCCCCAGTGCATCATTAAGGGGATGCTTTATGAAATTAAAGGGCAGAGCCTTGAAAGCCAGTAAAAATATAAATATTAAAGCCACAACACAGCCTAATTTGTCACACTTGGTTCAGCTAATAGCAGCCTGCTGAGGGAGCTAATGAAGCTTGTCTCCCACTCGTGTCCCCTGTCCATAGCTCATTCCTCCTCTCCCCGCGGGGCTGGGCAGAGCCGTGTCACCGCTCTGTCCCTCACCAGCCAGGGACAGGGGCACGGCTCGCCTGACTGCTGCCAAGCACGGCATTTAATAACCAAACTCCTCCTGCTTTTCTGGTGGGAAAAGCACTCAGCTGAGTCACCCTTGCTTGCAGGAGCATAATTGCCTTGAAGCCTTCCACCCTCCTTTGATTCAGTTGGCCAACGGGTTGCAGAAACCAGTTTAGTTTCCCCAGACGAGCGGAATCACAATTTCTTCAATTACCCAAATACAGCAATTTTGGAAGGGCATGAACTCATATAAGATAGCCGACGTGATAAAAAAACCCCTCTTCCCTTCAGGCACCTTTTCCAAGGTCTCCCTGAAACTTCTCCTTCCCTTTTTTAAGAGCACCGTGTCCTGGAGTGAAGCCGGTGCAACCCTGGCAGGTACACAGCCTTCTACCTTCTTTGGGTTTTGGTACAACTGGTCACCAGAAGAAGACTGGAAGTTCTTGACCATGACCGATGCCATGAGTTTCCAGGCATGGTCCAGCTCCGGCAAGACCAGACTTGGTGGAAATCAGCAAACTGGTACCGCTGTGTTGGCAGAACACAGCCTTTTGCCCAGGGAGGTCGTGGATGCCCCATCACTGGAGGCGTTCAAGGCCAGGCTGGATGGCTATTTGAGCAACCTGGTCTAGTGGGAGGTGTCCCTGCCCATGGCAGGGGGTTGGAACTAGATGATCTTTAAGGTCCCTTCCAACCCAAACCATTCTATGATTCTATGATTCTATGATTCAAACTGATGGTTTAAGTCTAAAAGTAAGCTTTTGGAGCACCACGAGGGTCTGGTGGGACAGCTGTGGAATGAGTTAAGCCTATGGTACGTCTTCTCTCCAGAAGCTCCGCTCACCTCGGAAGAGGCCACATATTCACAGCCAGTGCTGCCCATACCTTGGAAAGTTAATTGAACACTAATTTCTAAATAGCATTGCAGATACCGTTTGAAGGGCAGGGCACTGTCTGCCTGTGTCTCGCTACGAGCAAACACTGACAGCCTGGCTAATTATTCAGATGCTTGGGGGAGGACAAAACAAAAATAATATAAAATGCAATTTACAGTAGATTTAAAAACCACCCTCTTGCCAATTTGAGTCTGCTCTGACTTGAGCGAGAGCAGCCGGAGAGAGCCACAACAATGTCGAGATGCTCTTCAAAGCCTTCCTCGCCCAGATAACGACAAAACCTCCCGTCAGCCAGGACACCAAACAGCATCCCTAAAGCAGCAATCCCTTTATCGGCCCCGTTTTGAAGTTTATCTCCCATGTTTTGCTGTCTCTCCATACGGTTGCTTCTCTAATAGAGGGAACGCCGGCACAAGCTCGCGATAATAAGCAATGAATTAGTCAATGAAACGAATCCTGCACTAATGAGGAGAGAAGCGAGTAGGGGAACTGTGTGTTCTCTCTTTGCTCACACCAAGTTCAACCAAGAGCTTTTATACGCTGCCTGAAAAATCAGTTGACTTTTCTCAAGTGAATCCCAGGGAGAAGATAGACAGTTAGAGGGGTTTTTTTTGTTTGTTTTTTTTTTTTAAATAAACAGAACTTGGTCTCTTCTGCACTGTCAGCTCATCCCTGGGAAGGTGTGGAAGGTGGGTCTCTGCTCACCAGGGATTCTCCTGAAGATGACACTACATGGGGCTGCACCACCGCTGCTGGAAACCAGGCGGCAGCCAGCTCCATCAGGAGAGCAGGGATCAGCATTAGGGAGGTCAAGGATCAGGGACCCCCAGTTAGGACTTGCATGAGAAGAGGAAATCTCAAAAAAAAAAAGGTGGTTTGTTTTTTTTTTTTCCTTTCTCACTCACTTTTCTCTCCTCACTCATTACAAGGCACTGGGAAACCACTGTTTCCCCCCCGTGGTAGGACATAACAGACCCAGCATGGGGATTCTGCAGGCAGAAGAGAGCTGCGACTGATTAACAAAAATTACACCCCAGGCTTGTCTCTTCTTTTCTGATCACCCAGGCGGGACACGCGCTGCCTTCCACGACGCTGAGAGATGCCGTTCTCCGTAGCCGAATAAAAGACCCCCCGAGAAGACGGAGTGACAAAGAACAAGGTAGGAAAGGATCAAAGAAAGATGCTTTTTTCCTTCTCTGCCTTTCTGCAGGGAGAGCAAACGCTCCCATTCATCAACAACAACTCTTTTCACTGAATTTCACTGAATTTTTAGAGTTGGAAGGGACCGTAGAGATCATCTAGTTCAACTCCCCTGCTAAAGCAATGTGGCAGAACAAAAAAAAACACACCCTCAGACACTTGGGGAAACATATCAAGAAGATGGCAAGCAGCAGCAAGGAGGGGAAACAGCCACCCTTTCCAGCGGGTCGCATCACCCCCGGCTCAGCTGCAGCAGCTTCTTCATGTTGACCTATCCCTCCAGTCTTTCCTACCCACAGAACAGGCAAACCCTCCCCTTGCTGGATCCAGAGGATGCCCGGCAGCTGGAAAAGCAATCTAAGAAGGAAAAAGTACATCAGACAGACACGGGATTCGGTGGATGAGCACGGGCTGACACGCCGGCCCCAAGGGTGACAGATCTGCAGGGATAAGGCAACGCAGGACTAGGGTATGAAGTCCCTACATTCCTCTTCAAACCCCAAAAACCCCATCTCAATGCACAGCTTTGGAGGCTTTATTTGTCTCCTTCTGGCAATGGTCAATGCTGCTCCTAGCATAGGAGAGACTCAACCCATCCAAGGGAGAGAAGAAGAGAGGGGTATGGGGAAGCCTGTGCACGAGGGATGCTCCACAGGATTTGATTCCTTAAACCACTATCCCAAAGTGAAGTTACCCACAAAAAAAGCATCTCTGCTTGCTCAGACAATGCTCTTTTCTCCTATAAAGCAAGAGGAAAGCTTGGCTTGACAGGAACAGCAATAGGCACGTGATGGTTAAAGGTACCACCACGGGGGCAGCGCGGCCATCTGCGTTACAGCATCTCCCTCTTCCACCTCCGACAAGAGACCAGTCGTTTACTTGCTCTGGTGCTGCCCCTTAATTTAATCTCAGCTGGTTTGTTGAGCTGCCAGTCAGCGTGCTGTAACGGCTGAGCCAAGGCTGCTGTGAAAATTTCAATCGATATCTCTCTCTTTCGAGCGGGGACAGTGATCTATAAAGCCCAACTGCAAACAGCCACGGTTTGGAGATCAGCCATCAGATGGGAGACAGGGAAATCGCTGTCCTGCTGTCCTCCAACGATCTCCTGTAGCTTTGGCATCTCAGAGAACAGGGGCACAAGTGAACGGAGGATGCTCAAGTCACCCAGGAGCCAGGCTAAGGGAGAGCCGGAGCCAGCTCCCCCCTCCAACACCCAACTGCATCTCAAAATTCCATTTCCAAACTATCTAGTCCTCTCTTTTTCCCCCATTGATACACCACCGGACAACAACAAAGGGGTGAAACTTCAGCTGAGGCAGCAAAACAGCACCAAAGCAGGCAGCTGTGGGGGGTAAGAGAGCAGCTCGGGCACCTCTTGCCCTCCCCATCAGATGGGCATCGCGGCGTTGGAGAACCTGAAGAGCGCTTGTCCAAACCGCTGATCCAGCAGGTCCTCAGGACCTGCCTCCTTCAACACCTCCCTCATCTCAGTAGCTTCTCCTGAGAAGCTGAGATGCTCCTCGTGGAGTAAACTCATCCCTGGGGAGTCAGCCGCTGGTGGTGGGGGGCATGGAACAGCAGAGCCCATCTTTACCACAGGGAATGACCATCCCTGGGGAGTCAGCTGGTTGGGTTGGGGCGTGGAGCAGCAGAGCCCATCTTTACCACAGGGAATGAAACCATCCCCCAACCACCTCATATTATTGATCGGCCACAATATTTGCAGGGATTGCCATGAAGCAGGATAGGATTTATCTCCCAGTCCCATCAATTAGGGCACTGAGGCAAGGGAGAGGCTGTGCGATGCCAGCTGCCCAGGGCGGGGAGGGAAAGCATCACAGCAGGACAGCAGCACCCACGCAGAGCTCAGGGGGGTCAATATTGGGTACAAACATGCAAAACCCACCAATACACACCAGTACCACCTACCCGAGGTGGCTCGCCCTCTGCAGAGGTGGAAAGCAGATTTTCATCGAGGAGCCAAAGCAAGCTGGGATTTCCCCCACTGTAGGGTTACATGGGGAGGGACTCTGGATCAGGGAGGGGAGGCATGGGACAAGGGGGAAGGATTTGACACTGGAAGAGGGGAGATGGAGCTGAGATGTGGGGAAGAACTTGTTTGGTGGGAGGGTGGTGAGAGCCTGGCCCAGGTTGGCCAGAGAAGCTGTGGCTGCCCCATCCCTGGAGGGGTTCAAGGGCAGGTTGGAGGGGGCTTGGAGCAACCTGGTGTGGTGGGAGGTGTCCCTGCCCAGGGCAGGGGGTGGCACTGGGTGGGCTTTTAGGTCCTTTCCAACCCGAACCATTCCATGATTCTACATTTATCTTCCTCAGCATAGAAACAGCAGGAAAAAAAGCAAGAGGGAAATTCAGCCTGGGTTAACCAGCCCCAGAAGTTCACAGAATCTTCATGGTCGGAAGAAACCTTTGAGATCATCAAGTCCACCTTTTCTCACGGGACTGTGTGGATGACACCTCAGCATTGCTCCATCCTTTTGTGTATGTGAAGGTTTGGTCATCAAATTCCAAGGTACTTTGACTCACACCTAGTTCTAGTCCCCCAATTCCTGTATTTAACAGTGACAGTGATAGTGATAGACTGGATAAGGAATTCAATTATGTCTTTTGAAAGTGCCTTTCCAGTGATGTGATTTTTTTTCTACAGCATTTATGGTGCTACTCTAAAATGCCACAATCTTTTGTAGTTCTTCTTAAAATGACTGTGTGCCAAATCAATACTTGTTTACATCCTTGGATGAAATCTTCAAAAGCATCTTGGCAATTATTTGAAAAGGAAGAGATGAATCTGATCAGGGAGTTGTAGAGGGCAATGAGGTCTCCCCTCAGCCTCCTCTTCTCCAAACTAAACATGCCCAGTCCCCTCAGCCTCTCCTTGTGTGACTTGTTCTCCAGACCCCTCCCCAGCTTGGTGGCTCTCCTCTGGACATGCTCCAGCACCTCAATGTCCTTCCTCTGGTGAGGGGCCCACAGCTGGACACAGCCCTCGAGGTGAGACCTCACCAGTGCCCAGTCCAGAGGCACCATCACTTCCCTGCTCCTGCTGGCCATGACCCACCCAGCACACAGAAGCATGAACCTTCTTCCAAACCCTGCTTTGATTCCTGCTCGAGTGGAGAGCACATTCCCCCCTCAGACAGACCTTACACCCTCCTCTCCATCGTTAGCAGGAGTCGAGGCCCAGCAGATGCAGACACAACAGGGAAAACATAGGGAAACCCATCTCCTTTCAGCAGCAAAGGGCCACAGGGTTCTCTCAATCTCCTAAAGCTCCAAAAGCATGACTCTCAGAGCTAAAGACCTTCCACAAAATAGAGGGAGAACCTGTAAAAACAATCCAGGCTAATTTCTTCCCAAACACCTATGCAAACTCTGTTTTACCCAGGCATGCCCCACTAAAACTGCCCCCAGAGCCAGGCTCTTCTTGCTGTGTTGTGATGGAATATCTTGCCTTCTCTCTCTGGTAGCAATCTGGGAATGTTGCATATAGAAATCAAGTCACAGGCTGCTATGGAGCAGTCATTTCCGTTGGCTAATAGCCCCACAGATAGTTACCATCTCTGCCGAGAAGGATGCAGGGATGACAGTCTGATTGGCGAGGTGGAGAGTTCGGGAAGCATCTTGTAGAACTTGGATACTGCCAAAATTTATCTTGCTGGGATGCACGTAGACAACTGGTCCTTCTCCGGTGCTCACTAAATGGATTTCCTGCTCCAGGAAGCAGGTAGGAAAGGTAAAAAAAAAAAAAAAAAAAAAAAAAAAAAAAAAACACAGCTTTAAGGGTACTCCTAGTACTCCTAGTTTTCAGTGGTGTAAGACTGAAACACAAGGCCTGGAGCAAGTGTGAGATGTTAAGTGATCCCACCTGAAAGCCAAGAGCTCCCATTACTCAGGGATAGTCCCATTACCCAGTTTCCCCACGCTTGCTTTTTCGCACCTCCTCCATGCTCTCTGCTCTCCTTCCTCTGCCTCATGCCTGCTCCCATCCCTTTTACTTCACCCTCTTGCCCCAAAACACCCTCCCTGACTCCTGCTGCTGCCCAGCCACACTCGGAGAGGAACTTCTGTGACATTCCCCAATGTGAAAACCAGAGAAAGCCAGAAGCAAAGCAGACCCTTTGGAGTAGAGCTCACGCACGTTAGTTGCCTCTGATTGGTGCTTAGGTGTCTTCAGAATCACAGAATCAGACGGGGTTGGAAGGGACCTCTGGAGATCATCTAGTCCAACCCCCTGCCAAAGCAGGGCCACCCAGAGCAGGTCCCACAGGAACGTGTCCAGGTGGGTTTGGAATGTCTCCAGAGAAGGAGACTCCACCACCTCCCTGGGCAGCCTCTGCCAGGGCTCTGCCACCCTCACAGGAAAGAAGTTCCCCCTCATGTTGAGGTGGAACCTCTTAGATTCAAATTTGTGGCCATTTCCTCTTGTCCTGTCCCTGGGCACCACTGAAAAAAGACCAGCCCCATCCTCCTGACACCCTCCCTTTAAGTATTTAGAAGCATTGATCAGATCCCCCCTCAGCCTTCTCTTCTCCAGACTAAAAAGACCCAAGTCCCTCAGCCTCTCCTCAGAAGGCAGATGCTCCAGGCCCCAAATCATCTTTGTAGCCCTCTGCTGTCCCCTCTCCAGCAGTTCCCTGTCCTTCTGGAACTGGGGAGCCCAGAACTGGTCCCAGTGCTCCAGATGGGACCTCCCCAGGGCAGAGCAGAGGGGCAGGATGACCTCCCTCCACCTGCTGCTCACACTCTTCCAGCAGTTTTCCTGGTATTATACGAATAATAGACATTAATCATTAATTACATCATTCAAGCAAGTCTTGGTTTTTTTTTTCCTTTTTCTTTTGACAGCCTGCGACCCGAAAGTTTTGTTCTTGCAGAACTCTTGGGGGAGGAACGGGGATCTCTGCTGAACCACCTTCTCACATCATTAAAAACAATCAGAATTTACACCGTCTGTCTGGATTTCACTGGTTCTAAACACCCCGACTCCTAAACGGGAGCCGAATGCATAAAACTCCCAGGGCTGAGAAGATGCTGTATGATTCACTGGAGGGCAGGGAGTATGATTGAACCTCGCAAAGAAACTAGCCTCCGTGATGGAAAAGCCTTAATGATGCCTGACTCCAGGAAAGGGCATTGACAGCTGTCAGAGCCACTCGCCCAGCTCAGCCAGAAACGCTCCATCCCTGACAGGACACCACTGCCCCCAGTAGCCAAAAAAAACCCCATCTCCTACCAAGGCTGGTGCTTTGCAAACAAGGAGCCAAAGCAGCGCGTGATGATGGACCTTTTATCCCTCTCATGGAGAGCTGCAGTTTGGGTGATGCTGCCCAAAGCTCCTGGGAAGAAGGAATGGAGGGAAGAGCTGTGCCTCCCCCAGCTGGCTTTGCCTCCAGGTGACAGTGGTGCAGAAGAGAGGGCAGAGCCCTTTGGAGATGGGTAGAATAACATCTGGAGGATGCCCAGGCAAGCTGTCTTCAATTAGAGTGTGTACTAATGCCATATATAAATATATATATGCTTACAAGTACCTAATGGGGGGGTTGAAGGAGGATGGAGCCAGACTCTTTTCAGTGGTTCCCAGTGACAGGACGAGGGGCAACGGGCACAAGCTGGACCATGGGAAGTTCCACTCCAATCTGAGGAAGAACTTCTTTGGGGTGAGGATGGCAGAGCCCTGGCAGAGGCTGCCCAGGGAGGGTGTGGAGTCCCCTTTTCTGGAGATTTTCAAGCCCCACCTGGATGCTCCTGAGTGATGTGCTCTGGGCAACCCTGCTTTGGCAGGGGAGTTGGACTGGATGGTCTCTAGAAGATCCCTTCTGACTTCAACAATTCTGTGATTCCCTTGATACCCTCATGAAGGAAAGGCTAAGGCCCTTTATCTACATTTTTCTTAAAAGGGACACTTATAGAAAACCCCACCCCTTTATCTACATTTTTCTTAAAAGGGACAAGAAAAAGCCCGTTCAGCAGCATTACAGGCAACGTGAGACACAGGGAAAGGCGGCAAAATGAGATGGCAAACCCAAGAGGTTGCCACACATATCCCCAGCAGTAGCCCTGGTGGCTTTGTTGATGAGGGTGTAATGTCACATTTGATCATTTAGGAAGGAAGAGCACCCGTCCCTGGCAGGCAGCGTGGTTTGAGTGATGGGTGATTCTGACAGCAGCCAGCTGCCACATCCCCTGCCCGCCGCACGCAAGGCTGCCCTGCCACCGGCAACCCCAGCGCCGGCTTCTACCACTTCCTTAACGCAGGACATTACCCCAAACAGACCTCATTGAAGCTGGCACCAACTTCACTGGCAAACCAAATACCAGCAACAGCCCCACGGAGGGACCTACACAACCTGGATGGAAAATCTGTGTGGAATTTCACCAAACTCTGTAAAGACTCGGTATCTACTAAATGGTGTCACCTAAGACAAAATCAAGCCTGTATTTTTGCATTATTGGGATATATTGCAGCCATTCCTCTGAGGTCAGATTCACATGGTATTATCCATACGGGTGTTCAAGGCCAGGCTGGACAGGGCTTTGAGCAATCTGGTCTGGGGGAAGGTGTGGGGGTGAGATTGGATGGACTTTAAGGTCCCTTCCAACCCAAACCATCCCATCATGACTTGCCATCAGTGCAGGTTTTATGGTTAGCTGCTCTGCCAGCCCAGAAAGTTCTGGATGAGCCAGCTACTAATGAACTACTGATACTCTTCAATATCTTCATAAATGACCTGGATGAAGGGATGGAATGTCCCCTCACCAAGTTTGCTGATGATACAAAACTGGGAGGAGTGGTTGACACCCCAGAAGGCTGTGTCACCATCCAGTGAGACCTGGACAGGCTGCAGAGTTGGGCAGAGAGGAACCTGATGAACTTCAACAGAGGCAAGTGTAGGGTGCTGCTCCTGGGGAGGAATAACCCCCTGCACCAGGACAGGGTGGGGGTGACCTGCTGGAGAGCAGCTCTGAGGAGAAAGACCTGGGAGTCCTGGTGGACAACAGGATGCCCACGAGCCAGCAATGGGCCCTGGTGGCCAAGAAGGCCAAGGGCATCCTGGGGGGCATCAGGAAGAGTGGGAGCAGCAGGTGGAGGGAGGTCATCCTGCCCCTCTGCTCTGCCCTGGGGAGGTCCCATCTGGAGCACTGGGTCCAGTTCTGGGCTCTCCAGTTCCAGAAGGACAGGGAACTGCTGGAGAGGGGACAGCAGAGGGCTACAGAGATGATGAGGGGCCTGGAGCATCTCTCTGCTGAGGAGAGGCTGAGGGACTTGGGGCTTTTGAGTCTGGAGAAGAGAAGGCTGAGGGGGGATCTGGCCAATGCTTATAAATACTTAAAGGGAGGGTGTCAGGAGGATGGGGCCGGTCTTTTTTCAGTGGTGCCCAGGGACAGGACAAGAGGAAATGGGCACAAACTTGAGTATAAGAAGGTCCATCTGAACATGAGAAGGAACTTCTTTCCTGTGAGGGTGGCAGAGCCCTGGCAGAGGCTGCCCAGGGAGGTGGTGGAGTCTCCTCTGGAGACATTCAAACCCCACTTGGACACATTCCTGTGGGACCTGCTCTGGGTGGCCCTGCTTTGGCAGGGGGTTGGACTAGATGATCTCCAGAGGTCCCTTCCAACACCGTATCATTCTGTGATACCACACTATAAGGCAGACCTATAGAAAATGCACAGAATCTTGCCTGACAGTCAAAACCTCCCGTTTGTGCTGCCAACAGACCCAGCTGGGTGCCAGGAGCAGCTGGGATGAAATGCTGCACGTTAAACATCAACTTTAACGGGCACGTGCAGTCATTCATCTTGCTCTAGATCTTTCGTTTGAGACAGGTAGGGTTCTCCAGCTGAAATGCTGGCCCTTTGGGCAAAAAGTTGCCATTTTCATCTCCAAATAAAAAAAAAAAAAAAGATTAAGGTAGAGTTTGGAACTGTAAGTTGTTAGCCCAAGGGTTAAAGCTTTCCCAGAACACTGCAGTTAAACAACCTCACATTAAAGAGCTCGGTTAAAGAGTTTCCCCCCTCTAGAATAAGGAAAGTGTGCCTCGTATTTGAGGTTTTTTTTCAGACTTTTCCCCTGCAAATCCTGCCCTTCCTGTTGACTGGTTTACGTGCACATCCACAAAGGCCTGAGTTGAGATGCGCAGTGGCATCCAGGGGATTTAGCAGCATCATTTCCACTCCTTTTAATGAAAGTTTAAATTCCTACGACTACTTTCAAAATGTCAGCCTTCCTCTCCGTTACAGAAAGCTTAAGGTTCCCAGCAATCCTCTGACATCCTCTTTTCAGGCTCGGGGAGATGACAAGACATTTTAAAACAGCTGCTTCAAAAGTTAATATCATTTAAAATTAAATTTTAATTAACTAAATTTGTTCTAGATGAAGCCAGGACGCTACAGACAGCGTTCTCTCTGCTGCATTTTGTCATTGTCGCTGCTGTTGCGTACGCCTGAACGCCAACAACATCTTTCAGGAGGGTTTATTCTAGGAATGCTTTGCCTCATCCATTTCCAAGTTTGGTAGGGAAAAAAAAAAAAAAAAAAAAAGAAAAAAAAAGAAGTCTCTGTGCTCCAAACGCAAGCAGGTGGGGAGACTCGTGTGTCTTTGGCTGGGGCTTTTGGAAAAGAGATGTGAGGGGTGTTTCTCCAAAGTGATGGGCCTGAATTTCCATGTGGTTCCTTCCGCAGCGCTGGCTTTACTGGGATTCAGGGATGTCTCTGGGTGCTCCCAAACAGACATCCTCGTGAAGCAGCAGCTGCTCTCCTCATCTAATAACACAGCAGAGTACGAGACCCAGGGACTGTGCTGGGTTTCAGACTGGGCTTGTTATCCTGTTTCACATCTCCCTAATTAAAAGCTGTCTCAGACACTTAGATTATCACCTAAGAGGATACCACCTTTCCTCTTCTCTGGGTATTAGCTGCTGCTCTTGCCATAAATCCCTTCTTTCCTTCTCCACACCTGCCATGTATTACAAGCTCTTGTCTTCCCAAGAAGAACCCCTGTACGCTTCTCACCCCACGTCCCCCAGGACTCACCAGTGGGGACCCTTCGCTGCCAAACACCACGACATAAGCCACGGTGTCCTGCTCTCCCAGCACCTGGGCTTCCAGTACGAATGGGACCTCCACGGAGCTGTGAGGCTGGATGATCCCACACGGCGTGGGGCAGGAGTACCACACAGCAGCATCCCTCCTGCGCTCCTGTAAGGGACAGAAGCAAACCCAACTGCAGAGAGACCTTTGAGGGAGCTTTAAGCTCCTTGACATCTACCACAATGGCAATTAATGCATTATATTTTTTTTTTTAAATCCCTAGAGGAAAGCAGGAAGGCACAAAGATGCAAGACTCGTAGGGGCTTGGCATCCTCAGAGGGTCCAAAAACCGCTGCATCCACAAACGCCCACTCCTGTGCTGGCAGCCACCTTGCAGCACCTTTTTGTGGCCCCCTGGATTCTCCTGCATGAAAGCACCCTAAAGACTAGAACATAAACTGCTTCCTAAAGAGCTGAAACTGCTTCCCGAAACTCATATTCATGTAGGTTCTTGCTTTCAGCAAAAGAGAACAGGAACTTATCGAACTTATCTGAACATAAACCAGCAAGGTCTTCTCCAACACCACCACCACCCCCTTTTTTTTTTTTTTTTTCTGATAAACCCCTTGATAACACTCGAGGGCAGGATGGGGATGCGATGCCACACCTGAGGAAGAACCTTGTAGCAGCCTGAGAAATTGCTGTCGTTCACAAGGGTCAGCGCCTGCCGATAAGAGAACTTCAGGAGGCACCGTCCAAACGTCACCACGGGGTTGAGCACTTGCAGTGGAGGAACCACGCACCTGGGCAAAGAGATGACCGAAAGGGAATTAGAGATGCCGAGAGAACGCGGGATTTGTTTACTCCCCAAATAGCACGAAATGGAGCACAACCCATTTGTCACTGTCAAATAGACACTGAATGCCCCTACAGCGATAAATCGCCTTTAACTTCTTTTTAGTCACTTTTACTCTCGTGAAGGAAGGGCAAACCCCGAATCTCAGCACCACAGAGGCTGCCAAGTGCCCGGGCAGAGCACAGTGCCCTGTCCCAGAGCTGTCTGATGGGCATCTTTGCCCCGGGAGGCTTGCAGGGACCCTCCCAATGGTCTCACAGTAAGGTGTGACCCCTGGAGGAGACTTCCCACCGAGGACCAGCGCTCACCAAGGCTCAGGGAACACAGGACACCAGTGTTTGAGTAAAAACAACTCCCTCCTCTCCCATACTGCTCTTGCCCTGCCTAAAAACTTACCCCAGAGATAGAGGGTACAAGCCTTCCCCCCATCCTTTCCCCATTTCTGTAGCTACCTTGCTCCTTTGACCACAGAGGTCCATACACTGTTCCCTTTTCCACTCGTTTTACAAAATCCCAGCCCCAAAATCACCAACTGGATGACTCTGCCTGGGAGAGGGAAGAGCACCAGCAAACTGCATCCTTCCTGTAATTAAGCCGACACCGGCTGCAGCAAGAACGACTTTTTGGGTTAAGTCTGAGAACGGTAACGCTGAGAAGAACCAGAGGGAAGCAGAGAAACCCGAGCTCACCTTCCGCATCAGGCACAATTTTTCCCTTTGTAAGATCTTGCCTTTTTTCGTCCCTCACCAGCCCCACCATAAGCCCCATCCCCATTTACACGCGCCTTCGTTAACTAAACCAGATGCCAGCTTTCAGCAGACTTGTTTGCTGCGTCCCAGATGAACGTTGTGTTTTGGTCACAAGTCCATCACTTGTAAGAAATTTGTTACACCTCAAGCACCCAAACACAGGCCAAGAATGGATATAATTACTGTTTTATTTAGAAAAAGGCTCTGGGCCGTGCCTGCCCATCGAGCCCAGGCGTTTCTCAACATGGGCTGCTGTCAAAGCACTGCTCTTCTCATATCTAGCTGGGCAGAACTAGCTCGTTAAGCTCATTAAGCAACACTCCTCATTTGGAGATGAAGCCAGCACACCACACGTGAGGCAGCATGTCAGTGAGGGGTGCACGAGGAGAGAGGACGATACCTGGCTGTGAGGGGCAGGGCCAACATCTCCGTGCCAACGCCATCCACGTCCACCACCAGCACCAGCTTATAACTCTTCACGGTGTTGGAACACAGGGTGACCTGGGGGAAGAGAAGAGCATCAAATACTTCATCATTCCCAAAAGCCATCATCCATGTGCGGTGTCCTCCACCCTCTTTCCACAGTAAGGAAAGGGAGGATTTTGCCCTAATTCTTCTGCTGGCCCATGTGTAGAGCACAGTCTCTGGGAGTTATAAAAGTCTTCTGACAATAGGATAAGGGGGAAGGGTTTGACTCTCAAAGAGGGGAGATGGAGCTGAGCTGTGGGGAAGAACTTGTTTGGTGGGAGGGTGGTGAGAGCCTGGCCCAGGTTGCCCCAAGAAGCTGTGGCTGCCCCATCCCTGGAGGGGTTCAAGGGCAGGTTGGAGGGGGCTTGGAGCAACCTGGTGTGGTGGGAGGTGTCCCTGCCCAGGGCAGGGGGTGGCACTGGGTGGCCTTTGAGATCCCTTCCAACCCAAACCATTCCATCATTCTGTGATATTGGCTTTGTTAAATACACCATGCAGTTATCAGAGCATACGTAAGCTAAATTAAAGCCCAATCAGGCTAATGCTCTACTCACTACTGTATTAAAATTAAGGGACTGATTTTCAATCTCGATTACACTAGCCTAAATCCAGAGGAAATCTGTTGGCTTCAACAGAGTGAGTCCAGTTTTACAATGGGAAGCTGAGGGCAAAACGTGGCCCAGCAGGTGCCAGAGCTTTTTCAGTCCCCGTTGGAGATCACGGCAGGGAATACAGCTCCTTCTCCTCAATGGGAGAGGAGAAATAAGATGGGGGAAGAAAAGCCAACCACTTCAATACAATGACATCTCTCTTTTTAACAGCCACCTTCTGGCCTCATCCTTCCTCTGCCCACTTTAAATCAAAGATATCGCTCTAAGCAGCTCTCCAAACCACATGAATGGCTTCCATGCTTGACCATAGGGCACTTGATCTTCAGCTCATGGTTTTGGAAACAAAACAATGCTCCTTCAGGAAAGTTCCAGAGTCACCCAGCTAATAAAAGCCTAACACTAGTGCATACGTCCCACTCACGGCCCTCTCATACGCCGGTGAAGCTTCAGCTCCACCTGCTTGAAGCACCAAAGGCCAAACTCTTCTCCTACCTGGATATCCAGGAACCCCTGGGAGCGGATGGTCCCTCGGCAGGGCGTTATGGTAAATTCGGTGGGCTTGGCGTGATGGAGAGCTCTCTTTCTCGAGGACGGGGGAGCGTTGTCCGAGCCCTCTCATACACTGGTGAAGCTTCAGCTCCACATGCTTGAAGCACCAAAGGCCGAATTCTTCTCCTACCTGGATATCCAGGAACCCCTGGGAGCGGATGGTCCCTCGGCAGGGCGTTATGGTAAATTCGGTGGGCTTGGCGTGATGGAGAGCTCTCTTTCTCGAGGACGGGGGAGCGTTGTCCGACACCTCAGCCCAACTGGTGATGCTGGGCTCTCCCCGGCCATCCCCAGGAATGCGAAGGTTGAAGGACATGGGCACCAAGGAGGTGTTAGTGAGGCGGCACGACAAGGTGTGAGGAAAGCCTAGGAAAACGTCACAAATACGAATTTATGCATCAATTATCCTGTGATTCCTGGTGTGATTATCCTGTTAGGATAAAACCGCGCTTGGAGTTTAGCTCTTTTCAGCCTGAATTACAGCTAATTGAGAAGCTAAGCGAGGAATTAATTGTCAGTGAAGCTCCCTTTTTATGCTAATCACAGACGTTGCTTCCTTGGCAATGCCAGGGACCAGAAGTTTTCCTCTCTAGTTGTGAGGAGCACTCTCCCTCACCTATCCCAAAAACCAGCACCAATTATTTCGCATTTATGAATGTGCAGACCATTTACCCTGAAAATTCAGTCTGTAACATCCTGTGTTAACTCCCTGGAGGGCCCCACAGTTCCCAACACAGAAAAGCAGTGCGTGGTCCTTGAGGAACATCCAGAGCAAAAGAAAGGAAGGGTGAAATTGGGAACTGCAGCACCATGCAGGGCAGTAAAGCAGTTTCTCTAGGCAGGATCACCGAATCACACTGGGTTGGAAGGGACCTCTGGAGATCATCTCATCCAACCCTCTGCCAAAGCAGGGCCACCCAGAGCAGGTCCCACAGGAACGTGTCCAGGTGGGGTTGGAATGTCTCCAGAGGAGGAGACTCCACCACCTCCCTGGGCAGCCTCTGCCAGGGCTCTGCCACCCTCACATTAAAGACGTTCCTCCTTATGTTTAGGTAGAACTTCTTACATTCCAGTTTGTTTGTTGTATATTCAAGGATCCTTAAGGCACCTCTTGTTTTGGGGCAACCAGACCGGGCACATTACAATTTGTAGCCCAATTCCAAAAGGTGAGCTCGATGCTCACTTAGAAATGAGCAGGAACACAGACAGCTCATCCGTGCCCATTGCCAGCGACCACTGGCCACTTCCAGCAGCTCCTCCAGGCAGGGGGGTCACAAAGGGCACAAACACAGACTTTGCAGCCCCAGAGGAGACCAGATTCTCCAGACACAGACAGCAGCACGGCTAAAAGCAGCAAAAAATAACAATAGCTGCCTTCAGCTGAAAAGGCCTTATTAATGAAATCAGATTAAGCAGGATGAATCTCCCATTACATAACTGCAGTTCTGCCGGGCGAGTTTCTCCTTGTTTTATTTATTTAAAAGGAAATAAAGAAGTGGCAGAGCGGTGATGTAGGGAGGGGAGGAAGCGGCCCAGGAAAGGTAATGAGTTTTCTTTAAAAGTCCATGAACAGCATGCAAACACAGAGGCATCCTGGGCACAGAATGATAATGGCCCTTCAATCAATCCGCAATTGATTTCACATTTAAACTTTAGATCATCTGGGTAAAAAGCCTTTTGTGAGAGGGAGATGGAGAACCAGAATCTGCATTTCAATGGAGACGCTCTGGATGCTCACCACCAGCTCCTGCCTGCAGAGAAGAAGGAGGAGCCCACATCTCCGAGGACATAGAGCTTTAGCTTGGGCATATTACCTGGTCCATGATAATGAAGTGTCCTCATTAACATCTCGCACTAAAGGTCAGGTGGGTAAATGGTGTCCTTGCCTCACAACAGGAACATTTACCCAAAGCAGCTACAGGCTCATACGTAGCTTTAACTCTTCTCCTGCAATCCCATCCCCTGGGGTCCTTCTGGGACAAGGACCTTCACAGTCATCCTGCTACCAAGGCTTGGGACATTGGGGCCGAACAGACTACGAGGGACACCAGAAAATATTGATCTTCTATTCCTTTGGTCCTCTTTGATGTCACGATGGCACAACACTGCCTCAGCGACCGGCAGCTCCTGTTTGAACACCCCAAAAGCTTCTATGGAGGAACCCTTCTTCCGTAGGGCATAGACCTGTGGTCCAAGCCCAGGGCACACTCACCAAAGGAGACGTCCCCGAAGCTGAGGGAAGGCACACTGAAGTGAAAGGTGGGTCCGATGACGCAGCCCCTGCAGGGACAAAGACAGAAGAGACACTGGCTGGGTTAAAGAGAACTGCAAAGCGTTCAGCTTTCCTTGCTGCTGGGATGGATAAAAGCTGGTCTCAGAACCGTGGTGGGTTTCAAACCATCATCACCTTTGTGCTCAGTGTGGCATCCATGCAGACAGGAGGCAGCCAAAGCAAAACGCCCCGCAGCTGGTGTGGCTTTAGGTCACCATGTCACTTAGGGGACCAAGGGTATGGCCCAGGGCTGCTGCTGCTGCTGGCCCAAGGAAGGACCCTAAACAAGTGATGGCTCTGCGCCTCAGTTTCCCCATCTGAGGTGTCCACACAAAAGTGGACTCATTTTAATTAACCTTCCCAACTGCAGGTTCCCTGCTTTGGTATTTCTTAGCTGGAACTGGTGTTTCCATGGAGTATATTTTCCAGGGATTAATCCAGGGAAGCCCCAAATACCCCTTGAGAAGAGCAACAACAGTTCTACACAGTGGACAGCTGAACCTTGGAGGAAAGTATCAGCTTGTCTCCAGTGCACCAGCTGACACATCCAAGAGCAACACGTCTTAAACTGCCCAACGTGGGTGTCCTGAACCCACCGCATCTCCTGGCCCAACCTTAAATTCAGCAGCCAGGCTCCAAACTCCTGAACTCACCATCATCCATCAAAATCAGCACTCGGAGTCGCACAACATTCATTCATTTATTTCACGGTTGATGCCAATCAATGCCAGCTTTGCCTTTGAGTCAAAAATCAAGGACCACAGGGAGTGGTGCCTTCTAGCTTTATTCCCAACTTTATTCTGTTTGTGTTCTGGCTGAAGAGCAGGAGAGACCTGTGTTCATCCAAGGCACCCCATTCCCAGCACTTATTTAGTAAATAAACACCAAAGAAACAAACATTCAGAACCTGGCAAGGATGGTTTCCAATCACCTACGGTTTGGGCATCTTCTGCTTGCACAGTCAAAAAGCACTCCGAAAAACTGATTTTTGGGAGTTTCAATCCAATGCTAACTCTCGATTTTTGGAGCTTAACCAGTTCCTGAGAGTAAGTCAGGTAGCAAATCCCTCCTGCTGCTGAAGTTCCCCCTCCAAGGACCTCACAATCAGACCCAACCTCCCAAGCCCGAAGGCCTTGCTTTGGAGGGAGCAAAGGGAGCAGACGTGCTTTCCCTCATGGTGCTTGCCAGAAGATGATGGAGAACTATCTCCAGAACAACCACAACTGGGGATGGCACTGGGAAAGTGCCAGGGATGAGCCTTGCCAGGCGAGCAGGGAAATGACTGCCGGTTCTGCGGAGGGCACCCTGTCTGTGCCCGGGGAAGTGGGACCCGAACGACTGCCCAGAAGGTTCAGGCAAGGAGCCAACCCAGAGCTTCGTGTGCCGCAGCTGGTAACGGCCTGGCTTGCAAGAAAATGGGGGGAAAGGCAGCGTTTTTGGCAACAACTGTGTTTTGCAGCAGCACTGAGTAATGCACTTGTAAAGGGAGATCAGGGTCCTTGCAGAGCAGGAAGGATAACACAAAGTGGGAGAGGAACTTGCACTCTCATCCAAGTTCCTTCCTGTGCAGCCCAGTATCCCACCAGCCAGCTTGTCTTTATCCAAAAGAACTGGGAGCTTTTCCTCCATGGAGAACTAAAGCCAGTGCACAAAAATGTCCCAAACAGGTAGAAAGCTCAGGCTGACCTGGCAGGTGGACACCTCAAAGGAGTTGGAAAACAAACAGCTTGAGTTGTAGGACTGGAGAACGAGAGATAAGAAGAACATGGATCTGTTGGAGCGGGGCCAGAGGAGGCCCCAGAGATGCTGGGAGGGCTGGAGCCCCTCTGCTGGGAGGGGGGGCTGAGAGAGTTGGGGGGGTTCAACCTGGAGAAGAGAAGGCTCCGGGGAGACCTTCCAGCCCCTTCCAGTCCCTCAAGGGGCTCCAAGAAAGCTGGGGAGGGACTCTGGATGAGAGAGGGGAGCCCTAGGAGGAGGGGGAAGGGTTTGACCATGGGGAAACCAGGACCATTTCATTTGGTTGTGGGGAAGCCAAAAGACAATTAACTATCCCACTGACAGCAATTTCCTTCCTCGGGAGCAAGGCCACCCAAGAAAACCTCTGTATTTTTACCTGGTAAGCGCGTCTTTACAAGCGAAACCTGCCCTTGCTCAAGGGGAAAGCTGCTTATGCAAGAAAATCCCGTGACCAATTTGGGGGAGGGACAGGGGAGAATAAATTATTTGATTGTGAAATGTTCCCTCTTGATTTCCAAAAAAAGCAGCACTTTCCCTCCAAACACAAAGCCAACATAATTGTTTCCCTACCGAGGTCAGACCTACTCACCACTCTCTTTTGGGAAGTAATAACCTTGTTGGTTTTTTTTTTTTTTGTTTTAATCAATTTCCCTCACCTTATGGGTAAAATTGGCTGCAGATTCCTTTCATTTAATTACTACCTTGATTAAGGCCTCCCAACAGCAGCAGCCCAGCCCCGAAGCTCCAGAGCCTACACCACCATAACCCACCAGACCCACGGTTAAGACCAACTGGGACCAGTTTGGATGCTTTTGTGGTCCTGAAAAGCCAGTTTTACCTCTCCTACCATCAGTCTTTTTTCTGGGGTTTTGTTTTGTTTTTTTTTTGGTTGGTTTTTTTTTCCTCTTTGCTCGGCAAGGATTATCTTTTGCAATGGCACCAGCCCATGGAATGATGCCCAAGTCCTCGTGACAGCACTTGCTGCAGAGCTCCCCATCTCCTGCATCAGCACTTTTCCGGCTGCAGGAAGGAGGTACCGTAGCCCTTGCTGCTGGGAGGACAGCTTGTCCCAACACATTAGCATGAGAGATGATGCCGAGGCTGCTGCTACCCGTTTTGTATGGATTATTAACAGAGGATGTTAAAAACACTGCCTCTGGGCAGCAAAATCACCCGTGCTGGCCCGTTCCTCAACCATCTCCCAAGTCCTTTTGGCCTCGCTGTGTGCTCAGGTGGGACATCCCAGACCATCTACTCCCCCAAGCTGACATCCTTACGCTCTGCCATGGCCCAAGGGGGAACAAGCCACGCGTAGGAAGGAGTCACTCCAGCTCCTGGGTACCGAGACTGGGCAGCAGGCATCTCCACACCTTTCCCACGCAGCCTCCAGTCAGACTTTTCCCAGCATGGGTTGTCACTTAAAGCCCCAAAGTCCTCATGCAGAGATGTCAAAAGGTCACAAAAAGAATCTGCTGCTGCCAAATTTTGTGCAAACAGTGTCCTGGAAAGTCACAGAGCCACCCTGGCTCAACCGTGGAAGGCAAACACAGAGATGTCAAAATGTCACAAAAAGAATCTGCTGCTGGCAGATTTTGTGCAAACAGTGTCCTGGAAAGTCACAGAGCCACCCTGGCTCAACCGTGGAAGGCAAAGGTGCTTCCCAGAGGGACCCAAGGCTTTCAGAGATAAACTGGGTATTGAGGGCACAAGGACCATCTCCCCTCGCAGATAATTATACTGCAGCATTTGCTGCTGCAATCACGAGGTTCAAACTGGAGACAAGATTTAAAAGCCCTGGCTTAGTCTCAGCTCTGATCCTTGCATCCCCATGCTAAGACCTTAGACAACACCTTTTTTTTCCCCCTCTGCTTCACTGTAAAATGAGGTAGGTGGCAACTGATTTCCCAGAGATTACCCACAGATGTGCCCACCGAGCTCCTCCAACCCTCCTCACCTGATAGTGAAGGTCACAGGCTCAAGGGTGCCATTCACCCTGAACCTGAATTCTTCTGTGAACTGCCCCAGGATGGTGGAACTGAAGGAGATCCGGATGGCTTGGAGCTCATCTGGCAAAATGATGCCCTCCTCGGGGAGGAAGGTGAAGCAGGAGCCCAGAGCTGTAACCGGAGGGACCAAGCTGAAGAGACCACTGATGGCTCCTTTGTTAAACAGGATCACCTGCAGCCGAAAGAAAGCAACATATATACATAAGGAAATAAACACATAAGGTATCTTCCTTTCTTAGAGAAGGCTGATTTGTTTTCTAATGAAGCAATTAACACCTGCAAAAGGCAGAAGATGCTGCGTGCTGCTGCTTGGCAGAAGCCAAGGAAAATACAACAGGACAAGTTCTGCCTTTGGGGTTTTTTCATGCAAAGCAGCGATAAGTTCATATAAACAGAGTCACTCGGGGTTTATTCCACGGACACAGAGTGGTCCAGCTCGACTCACAGCACAGAGGACCTGCTCAGCATCACAGAGGACCTGCTCAGCATCACCGAGTCCATTCAGACCTGTCCCCAAGAGCAACGAAGGCCGGCGGAGGAGAAGGAAGAGAAAGAATTACTAGTGAATTCACTACTAGTGAATCATCCACAACTGCTTCTGCTCCAGGTGAGCCCGATCCTGCCTGGGGCACAACACCTTCAGCTTCCATTGCAGCCAACAAGATTATTACACACAGAAAACATCTCAGGATGGCACGAGAACCAACTTCAGGAGCACTCCCCATGCTCTACAGTAGATGATTTAGGTTTCCTTCATTTTTTCTTTCATGTGATAGTTTCTTAGTCTTTGCTTAAATAGACATCTAAGGAAAGGATGAGCACGAGGTGTGTAACGGCCCCATCTGTTCCAAAGATCTTCTCTTTCCTAAATATTCACAGCCACCACGTAAGGTTTTACCATCATTAGAACAAACTGCAAATGTAGAACCAAGTCATATTTTGTTGAACACTGGAGAGATCTACTGCCTCAAACAATCCCGCAGCATTTGGAGAGACCCATTTCTTTCCGTGTTGGGTGACAGAGCCCACTCACCTCTGCCCATGAGCACCAGGGAGCTCTCACCCCACAACAAACCCACCCAAAGCAAAGCCCTAACGTTTCCAACTGCTGCAGGGTTGAAATCCTGCTGTTCCCATGGACCTGTATCCATCTGCTCTGGGTTTCTTTTCCCTTGACCTTGGAAAACGTATCGGAAAAAATCGAGACAGAAACACAGAAATGTCCCTTTTTTTTTTTTTTTTTTTCATTTTGCAGCTGCTGTCGAAAACATTCACCTACCCAAACTCCACAGTGGAAACTTGAAAACTACTCTCTCCTCAGAAGTGACTTGCTGGAGAGCAGCTCTGAGGAGTAAGACCTGGGAGTCCTGGGGGACAATAGGATGACCATGAGCCAGCAATGGGCCCTTGTGGCCAAGAAGGCCAATGGCATCCTGGGGGGCATCAGGAAGAGTGTGAGCAGCAGGTGGAGAGAGGTCATCCTGCCCCTCTGCTCTGCCCTGGGGAGGCCCCATCTGGAGCACTGGGACCAGTTCTGGGCTCCCCAGTTCCAGAAGGACAGGGAACTGCTGGAGAGGGGACAGCAGAGGCTACAGAGATGATGAGGGGCCTGGAGCATCTCCTGTCCGAGGAGAGGCTGAGGGACTTGGGTCTTCTGAGTCTGGTGAAGGGAAGGCTGAAGGGGGATCTGATCAATGCTCATAAATACTTCAAGGGAGGGTGTCAGGAGGATGGGGCTGGTCTTTTTTCAGTGGTGCTCAGGGACAGGACAAGAAGAAATGGCCACAAATTTGAATCTAAGAAGTTCCACCTAAACATGAGGAGGACTTCTTTCCTGTGAGGGTGGCAGAGCCCTGGCAGAGGCTGCCCAGGGAGGTGGTGGAGTCTCCTTCTCTGGAGACATTCAAAACCCACCTGGACATGTTCCTGTGGGACCTGCTCTGGGTAACCCTGCTTTGGCAGGGGGTTGGACTAGATGATCTCCAGAGGTCCTAACCCCATATGATTCTGTGATACTCTCTCCTCTCACGTATTTTATACCTTAATTACAAATTGCACTTCGGGATCCTGTGCTGAGCTGAGGTTTCCCTCCAGTCTAGCTGCTTAGGACAGCATCATCTACTTACATTTTCTCAAGTAATGAAAACAATAAATTGATAGAGAGAGAATCAATACAGTATCAGCATTAAAAATGCATACAGAGCACAATATTTTGGTAAGAAAACACCTTAATGTGTCCTTCCCTGCCACAGTCAAGTTTTTGAAAGTGTCTGGCATGATGTATTGCCTTATTTTCCACCTCTATTGCTCTACCTTATTTTTTTTTTGCAGAAGACTTGACACCATTGCAGGGGGAGGCAAACATGTACAAAGTTCTTTCCCTTCGTTTCCAGAAATACTTGACTCTTTCTAGAGCAGGGGTCTGGAGAGTGGCGAGTGACTGGTGGGCAAGGGGAAGCCCTCTCCCTGTCTTGGCCAGGGCCAGTTGTGAGCCAGGAGGCTGGACGTCCTTCCTCTGACTCCCAAAATCAGTAGGATGCACTTAAATGAGAACTGTTTGCAATGGACTCAAGGTCAAACACAGTAAATTTATTCCAGCTGCTTTTTAAGAGCCAGAGTACAAAGGCGCTTTGCATCCGGGGCTGAAACAAAGGCCTCCAAATATTTATCTTTTTGACATAATGTTGCTTTTGTGGGTCAAGAGGGTTTTTGGTTTTTTCCCCCCATGAAGCCTCCAAGTTGATCTCAAAGGGAGGTTGTCAATAAGCAGGGATCAGGGCTTCGTAAACAACACGTACACCTTTCAGACCCCATCAGCTATATCCAGACTCCATGAAACCCCCCAGATTTGATGATTACGTCAAATATTCCCCGCTCCCAACTGCCTAAGTTGCCACAAAAATCCCACCGGGAGCCACCAGGATCCATCCCCCAACCCCCTGCTGCTGCTCACCTCATAGTTGTGGACTAATCCAACAAAAACCTTCCCGATGTCCAGCTGCTCAAAGCTGAAGCGGAGCCGGGGCCCTATGCCTTCCCCCTTGACGCGCAGGGACAGCCTGGTCTCACGGCCTGGGGAAAGATTTCCATTTCAGTACAACAATTCCCTCCATTATCCTGGATTTTCCAGGCTGCCTCAATGCTAGTCCCCGAGTCTGGGCTGCATGGGACCAATTCTAGATGCTCCAGGAGAAGACACAGAACCCTTCTCTTCCCTCAGGAGATAGGCCTCGGGGCTGGATTCCAATTTCTAACCGACCCCTTAGGCTGGTTTCTCATTTAGCCATCAATTTGTGCCCCAAGAAAGCAATGCTGAGTTGACAATGCGATCTCTGAATTTCTTCCCCTGCTCTTAGATGAGCTTTGAAATCCTTTCAGTGGGGGCACGGAGCTGGCGAAACACAACTGGAGGTAAAAATACGCCGTCTGTAGTGACGCGATGGGAGATGACAGCACGGGAGCAGAGAAGCAGGAGCCCAGGAAAGGGGAAGGTCCCTGCCAACAGCGATGTGCACATCCGAGGGCTGCTCAGAGCATAAAATCAAGGAATGGTTTGGGCAGGAAAGCACCTTAAAGCCCCCCCAGTCCCACCCCCTGCCCTGGGCAGGGACACCTCCCACCACACCAGGTTGCTCCAAGCCCCCTCCAACCTGCCCTTGAACCCCTCCAGGGATGGGGCAGCCACGACTCAGGATGATTTTGCCCATGTTTGAGGAAGAGGCCTCCCCAGCCGTGTCCACCCTTTCCTCCAAGCCATGGCTGCTCTTCTGCATCGATTTTGATGCTCGGCATCTAAGCCACCGCCTCTTCCCAACCTACAGCTCCATACCTGGGGGTGCTCCAGGGCTCACCTCCTGCAGCAGCATCTAAATAACACAAGGCTTTGTGATCTCCAGAGAGGGGACCGCAAAACTTACAGCTGAAGTCCAAGATGCTAATTTTCTCCTGTAAGGCTGCTAAGGGGACACAGCTCAGGATCTTTCAGGCTGAAGGCTGTTCTGAACCACTGGAGCAGCCTAAAGGGCCCAAATCCTGGCTGAAATGTCAGCTTGAGGCTCCCAGCCATCCCATCCTACTCTGCACGGAAGGAGAGGAGCACAAGGAGGAGAAGAAAGCTCCCAAAGTTGTATATAACCTTCACTACAGCTTTTGTGCAAAAAATATTCCTCTGTCCTTCAAGCTCCTTCCATCAGAGACTGAAGGTTGCTTTTGAAAAAATAGCCTGCTGCGGAGTTATTCCAGAATATCCAAAAATGACTTCTTATGGCAAAGAGCAGCCCAGGTGTGACACCACGGTGAGTAGATCACAACTTGAAAAATAAAACAAAACTTTCCCAGAACAGCATTTTCAATCAGTGCTGACTTTTTGATCTGGCAGCCACGGGCTGAGGATGTTTGATCGTGTCCACAGCCAGAAAGGAAGAGCTAGGGAGCTTTTGTTCAACTCAACATTTTTTTAGGTGGATCCAGCCAAAGCCCAGCTGATAGAGACGAGAGTGATGTGTCACAGCTCAGGCGTTAATTGGAGGGCTGTGTATTTATATTTCACATACGCTGTAAAAGAGGCGGTACTGGGTGCTCACTGGCAAAAGATTTCTCCATCTTGCATCATGTGTGGCTTAATTTTCATTAAAAACTCTATGTCTAAACCATCAAAGCTCTTAGGAAATGACAAAGATTTCCAAGTGACAAGCTTTTGTCCATCATCCTGCTGAGACATATCCGATGGACACTGTGATTAAAAATCAGCAGCAGTTCTTCCCCTTCCGCAGTAGGTCCTTGACATCTCCTGAAGGTCCGTGGAAATTATCCTTTCTTCTACCCCTATGTTGATCCTGGGACTTTAGGAAATCCCAGAACCTTTGCTCTTCCTCCTTCCAGGAGAACCTCAGAGTGTGATTTTCCCAAAGGAGGAGCAGACAGAACTACAGGCAGCATTCAGAAGAGCAGAGGGGGGAAACAAAAAGAGAGTATGTTCTCCTCTTTGCCAGGAGCTGGGGCTTTGAGGAATGTCCAGCCATTGCCCACGACCTGGGCCCTGTGATGCTCCCACCATAAGGTGTCCCAGAGGACACAGAGCAGGGCCATGGAGGGGCTACGGCTTCTTTGTCCTCCATCCCAAATCCACACCTGGTACTGTAGAGTGAGGATTTGGGTCTCAGCAGGAATAACACCTTGGCAGGTCATGCCTTGCTTTCGGATAAATTGGGGTGTAGGTGGCCCAACAGCGCAGGACTTCACTGTTTGTGACACTGTGTTTCTTGTCCGCAGAATGTCCCTGTATTTTGTGGGTGTGTTTGAACACAATTCTCACCCGACCACACCAATGAAGCTTTATGTGATGCAGGACAGCTCTGTCACAAGATAAGGGAGTGATCATCATCCCTTGGGATGTTGCTTCTCCCGGCAAAGGTGGCTTAGGAAGGGGCTTCCCAAGGTGTAACCCAATAGGGTCCCGAGGGCAGACAAACCTAAAAAAATGCATTTAAAGTGTCTGAGCCCCCCCCACCCCATGCTTCCTCCCAGCGCTCAAGAGCTACAGCCTGATTTGCATGGCTAACTAAGAAAGTTCATTTCAAGCTTAAATATTTGCCAAGAGCAAATTCCAACCCCCTTCCTAAACCCGCCAGCTTCGCCAATCCCACGGTGCTGATTAGTTCTGTTAATCACCTGGGCCAGAAGCATCTGTTTAAAAAAAAAGAAAAGAAAAGAAAAAAAAAAAGAAAGTGGAGGCCAGCGGGGCGTGAGATCCCACTCCACCATTCCCAGTGCTGAGCTGGGGCAAAGCTCCCAGATATTCCCAGCAAAGGGCACACACCATCTGCCCGGCATCCTCCGAAGGGATTTGTGACTGGCAGGCAAACACACGGGGAAGGCAGCCACGCTTCTTAGAGGAATCAAGAAGCAAAACTAATTGGGTCCCTAGATAAAAAACGGTGTTTTCCTTCAACTCCTTTTGCACCTGGGGACCTTGACTCTGGGACAGTTTCCATCCTGACACCACAGTGGGGCAGCTCTGTTTTGTGAGGGGGGGCGCTGACCTGCTGGAGAGCAGCTCTGAGGAGAAAGACCTGGGAGTCCTGGTGGACAATAGGATGACCATGAGCCAGCAATGGGCCCTTGTGGCCAAGAAGCCAATGGCATCCTGGGGGGCATCAGGAAGAGTGTGAGCAGCAGGTGGAGGGAGGTCATCCTGCCCCTCTGCTCTGCCCTGGGGAGGCCCCATCTGGAGCACTGGGAGCAGTTCTGGGCTCCCCAGAAGTTCAAGAAGGACAGGGAACTGCTGGAGAGGGCTACAGAGGGACATTCCAAACCCACCTGGACATGTTCCTGTGCAACCTGCTCTAGGTGGACCTGCTTGGCAGGGGGTTGGACTAGATGATCTCCAGAAGTCCCTTCCAACCCCATTCTGAGGTAGGTGCATCATTTAAGTATCTCCCCGAGGTTCCTTCTACAGAGAAGTGGAGGAGTTAAGCTCTACCAAGGCCCCATCAGGGTCTTTCAAAACCAGGCTCCTCTTCCGAAACACAGATCGTTTGCCCAGTTCTGTTTCCTACGGCTCCCAGACCAGCTCAAGGGCTGCCCGTGAGTAGTTTTCCTATTTCTCTGCAGTGAAAAACAAAGCTCTCCTGGCACAACCCCCAGAGACCTCTTCGGCAGCAAAGTGATGGACGCCCCCGTCACCAGAGCCCGAATCCCAGACCCCAGCGCTGAGCAAGGACTCCCACGGGAGAAACTCGGTTTAATCAATCTTTTCCTTCCACTGCTCTAACGACTGCAGCTGGTGGGCAGGAAGACAGTTTGTTAACACAAGCCCCGTGTAATTACTGTAGGTGGCATTTGCCAAGTAAACCCTGCGCAATTACTGTATAAATAAAAAGCTGTTTCATGACATTTGTATCCGTCAGCCTGGAGCAGTAAGAAAAGCAAGAAAGCAGCTGGGTCCGTGATTCCAGCGCCCTGCAGAATGGAAGCACGGCTGCTGGAGGACCATGGACCTCACAACTCTTCCTCTGAGGTGGGGAAAACCGTCATGTTCCTTGGGTGGAAATTCAACATTTATCACCCACTCTCGAAAAATGCCTTAAGCAACACCGTGAGGAGGAAGAAGAAGGCAACCTGAACCACGCAGGCATTCCCAGCCCCATGCCACAACTGCAAAGGGGTCACCTCTGTGAGGGCAAAGATGGCATAACTTGGGTGAGTCAACAAGAACGGCTCCCAGAAAAGACTGGTGAGCAGAAAGCTTGTCCAGCAGAAGGCTCAGGCTCCGATTCCCAGGGAGGGTGTTCACCCTGCTGAGTACATCCAGCCCTGTGCAACGCTACCTGTACGCACCACGGACCTTGGAGCCACAAGGTGACAATTGCCAGGCAGGGGCAGAAGCCCGTGGTGACCAGAGGTGGTCTTTTTGCTGAGCAGGGCTCAGCCACCGGAGCTCTGGTAGCATCCGGGTAGTGGGAGGTGGTCCAGGGCCTGGGAGAACATTTGTAACTCAGCTCAGGAGTCTGATGGTGCAAAGTCCCAGGATCAACACAGGGGTAGAAGAAAGGATGGCTTCCATGGACCTTCAGAAGAGGTTGAGGACCTACTGCAGAAGGGGAAGAACTGCCACTGATTTTTCTATCATTGGACAGTGTGTCTCATGACACACATCAGCACCCTTGGGGTGCCTCAGCATGATGGTGGACAAAAAGCTTGTCACTTGGAAATCTTTGCCATTTCCTAAGAGCTTTGATGGTTTAGACCTGGAGCTTCTAATGAAAATTAAGCCACACGTGATGCAAGATGGAGAAATGTTTTGCCAGTGGGCACCCCATACTGTGGTAAAAAAGACATTGAGGTGCTGGAGCGGGTCCAGAAAAGGGTGACAAAGATGGTGAGTGGTCTGGAGCACAAGTCTTATGAGGAGAGGCTGAGGGAGCTGGGGTTATTCAGCCTGGAGAAGAGAAGGCTGAGGGGAGACCTTCTTGCTCTCTACAACTCCCTGAAAGGAGGGTGTAGAGAGATGGGGGTCGGTCTCTTCTCTCAAGTCACAGGCGACAGGACAAGAGGAAATTGCCTCAAGTTATGCCAGGGGAGGTTCAGGCTGGTTATTAGGAAAAATTTTTTCACTGAAAGGGTTATCAGACATTATAATGGGCTGCCCAGGGAGGTGGTTGAGGCCCCATCCCTGGAGGTGTTCAAAAGCCGGGTTGATGAAGTGCTGGGAGGTATGGTTTAGTGATGATGCTTCTTGTTTGTTGTGTGGGTGACTATTTTTGTCACTTGGGTTGACGGTTGGACAAGATGATCTTTAAGGTCCCTTCCAACCTAGAAGATTCTGTGATTCTGTAATAAAGACTGCAAGAGTGTAATAAAAACTCATCTTGGAGGTAAATGGTGTTAGGGCTCGTCCACTAAAGCTCCTCTGCTGTATGGTTCTTTAGCCTTACAGACACCTCCCAGCAGAGAAAACATCGGCAAACCCCATGGCATGAAAACTTATCCCTTCGCTGCCTTGGTTGCCCTGGGATCAGTGGTCCAAGCTTGTAGCCAGGCATCCTGAGGATGGACAGGAGACACTTGGAAGCCACAGGGACAGCGGGCATGTGCCAGCACTGCCCTGCTGGCCGTGGACCCTTCCAAGCAACTCCAGGAGAACCGAGGGGGCTGGAAGACTCTTTGTGCCCCACCTTCACTGGGGGTAAGAGAAGGAGGAGAAAGGAGCCGTACCTGAGATGTCGCAGTAGACCGTTTGGTGATAGAGTCGGGCTTCTTGGGGTTTGAAGATCACATTAATTTCAGCTGAAGAATTCGGCCAGACATCTCCCTCCTAAAACAGAAGGAGACGGCAAACCATTTATCTTCAAACGTTACATTTCTTCTTTTCAACCACAGCCCTGCAGCCTATATTTAGAGCATCAATGAAGAGCAGGGAGCAAGCAACACTCGTCAACAAAATCTGTAAGGGTTTAGAAGCAGCTGCAAAGGAAAAAAAAAACAAACAAAACCCACCAACTTTCTAAGTCCCTTACCTTTACAGGCATTTTGTTAGATTAGGGCTATAACGAAGCCACCAAATTGGCTCACACTCCAGTGAATCGAGCAGGATTTCTTCAGAGGTACCAGGAATTTGAGGAAAATGTACTTTTTTCCTCCCAACCTTCCCGTGTTTCCCTGTATCACTCCCATCAGAAAAGATGCAGCAAAGCAAATGGGTTTTTCCCCTCTGAGCTACAGAAGTGCTGCCTCTCACCCCTCACCGTACACAGTACAGTGTACTGCAGTGGGCTGGGGGGCTCAGCACCGAGCAGAACAAGCCCTCCTGCCTGGGGATGGATGAAGAACTGAGCCCTTCCTGCTGGTGGCTACTTCTGCAGAAGATCTGAGAAGGAAGCTGAGAGCTAGATGCATCTTGATTCCCCCTGCAAGGTGCACACACTCCTGCTTCCCTCAAGAACAAGAAGAGATGGGGTTTGCTCACAGCTCCACAACCGAAAAATCAACTAAAATAGCTCTTTTCCTTGTCATGGTCAGAGGTTTCGGTCCGGACCGTGCTACCAGTGCTTCTGCAACTGGTTGCTGGTTCCTTGGGGTCTTCTCTCTCCGCTTATCTCAGTCCCAGGGAGCTTTGTCCCACATTTTTGGGGCCACCCCTGGTTTGTAAAGGCTCTCACTCGCTTCTCAAATGGTTTAAACAAAGGCACCACTCACATCCCCTCAACCCCCAGCATTGCAAACATCCCTTTGTGCATCGGTTGATATAAATATATGCACCTCTGACAACTGTGATAATACTCTACCAGGGATGAAAAATACAGCTTCTAAAAGGAGACAAAGAGAACGGAGTTATTTTTCTATCAACAAAGTGAGGTTTTGATTCTCTTTGCTGCTGGGTGTCCTCAGCGCTTTGTCCAGAAGAGTCTTGAACTGACTGGAGCCTCCTGCAGCATCAATATTAAATAACTATAATATTTCCCACCGACTTCACACTTACAGCTCAAAGGACCATCCCTGCAAAATTTGAAGAGCTACGACACGGGGAGTTATTGGGCTCCTGCTGCAAATAATCCCCTGATGCACAGTCTGCTCAGAGTCAACAGAACAGAGGGGGAGAACAGGCGGAGAAAACTGTTTCAGACACCAACAAAATAAGAAGAAAAGGGAAGTCTAAAAGCATAAAGTCAGTCGGATTCCTCTCAAAACCCAGAGCAAACACAGTTGCCAGATAAATGTACTTTATGTTCCTATCCAGCAAGCGAACAGGTGAAGATGAAGCCTTATTATATGACAACACACTTGCCTGAGGAAACAAAGTGGGGACATCAACCCGCAACCCACAGTTCGATATCAGAGCCTTCGGGTACCATGAGGATGCTGTATGGAGTGAGCATCCCCAGAGTTATCTCGGATTTGCAGCAATCAAAGCGTTTGGGATGCCCCAAACCACATGAACTCTGCTACGGTGCCTGGAGCTCACCTAAACCCAGCCACTGAGAAAAACCACTGGGATGATAAGATTTCTCTGGCTTGGCTAATTAGAGCCTAATCACTCACCAGCGCTCCTCACCCAGCTGCTCGCTGTGTGTTGAACAGCCTGAATTCCGTAGTCTCACCCTGGGCAGACTGTCCCCAGGGAGGGAGGGAGGGAGGGATGCTTTGGCAGCTGCTTGCCTTTGCTTCAAGCCCAACATCTGTAGCCCAACACACGTCGCATCTCACCGGTGTTCTGCGCCTCTCCTTAACAGCTGCAGCAGGGGCTGAGCCACCCCGTGGAGCCCTTAGATCCTCCAGCCAGTGGCAGGGATGTTTGAGGTCTTCATCTTCTCCAGGGGCATAAAGCAGGGGAGGATGGAACGTCCCGAGCCTTAAAACCAAAACCCACTGGTGCAGGGGAGAGAAAAGAGCCCCATTTCAGAACGGCCACCCGGATCCCTCCAAGGGAAAGTCCTTTTGCTTTGCAGAGCCCCCAGTGGAAAAGAGCAAAGAAGAGAGAAGGTATTGGAATGAGACAGGGCTGGACCAGCAGGACTGGGGTGGGGTTGGTGGGGGGAAACTGATGCCAGGATGTGGCTGTAGCTCTGCAATCAGGTTAAGGAGGGCTGGGCACAGCTGGATTATCAGGGGAACTCAAGAGTTTGGGCTGGCTGCCTCCCATAAAGGAGGGAGGTCATTCTCCCCCTCTGCTCTGCACTGGGGAGGCCACAACTGGAATCCTGCCTCCAGTGCTGGGCTCCCCAGTTCAAGAGAGACAGGGAACTGCTGGAGAGAGTCCAGCCTAGGGCAACAGAGATGATGGAGGGATTGGAGCATCTCCCTGATGAGGAAAGGCTGAGAGAGCTGGGGCTCTTGAGCTGAGGGGAGACCTTCTTAATGCTGACAAGGATCTAAAGGGTGGGTGGAAGGAGGATGGAGCCGGACTCTTTTCAGTGGTTCCCAGTGACAGGACGAGGGGCAACGGGCACAAGCTGGGCCATGGGAAGTTCCACTCCAATCTGAGGAAGAACTTCTTTGGGGTGAGGATGGCAGAGCCCTGGCAGAGGCTGCCCAGGGAGGGTGTGGAGTCCCCTTCTCTGGAGATCTTCAAGCCCCACCTGGATGCCATCCTGAGTGATGTGCTCTGGGCAGCCCTGCTTTGGCAGGGGAGTTGGACTGGAGGATCTCTAGAGGTCCCTTCCAACTCTGACAATTCCGTGAATCCATGATTCCATGATAAACCAAGCCTCCTACTCGCTGGGACTGCGTTACCACTTGCAAGAGTTTGGGATCTACCCGAAAAAGCAGCGTGAGATTTTACACCACACCACCCTTGAGCGCAACGCTCTAGACAGCCGAGCTCCCACCACCAAGAAGGAGGTTTCACAGAGCCAAATCGCTCCGGGGAAACTCAGAGCATCCTTCCCTCCTTCCACCCAGGCTGGAAAACAAACTTCTTTGAGCGCAATGCGGCAGTATCAGTCTTTCAGGTCAACTATCTAACGAAGTACCATTTGGCTGCTGGATGGCGGGCTGACGGTACTCACCAGTCTGCTTTGTGTGCTGCAATCAGATCTATTGGCCCCGTGGACACTTTGGGGCAGTTGGGTTATTACTCAGAGGCTGACAGAGGCAATACATCTCCGGTTAATGGAAGCAAGTGTAATACAATTCATAAGGAAAAAAAAAAAAAACAACGAAGCTAAGCAGGAAAGGAAGAAAATTAAACAGAAGCGCTGGGCTGATGAATATGTATCTGCGAACAGCAGCGCCGTTTTCTAGCTGAGCAAGTTTAGCTGACTTTGGGATTCAATGAAATCCAAGGCCAGCAGATCTGCGACAGAAATACAACCGAGAGGGGGATCTTACCCCCCTGTTCTGGAGCAGAGCAACAGCAATCTGTCAGGGAGACAGCCCCAGGGACAGACTCGGCAGGGCAGGGGACCCCGGGAAGGTGGTGCAGAGCCAGAAGGCAGGGAGAAGAGTGGGAGATGGTTCAGGAAGAGCACACGCTTGAGGCTCGCGACAGCTTTGTCTTCTTGTCACCCTCATTGTCATCTTGTCCCGCTCTGGTCACTGCCCACTGAGCCCTGGGTGAGCAGGACTGGGTGACAAACTTCCCTCTGCCCCCAGTAAGCTCTGGCAGACAGACAGACAGACAGACTGGTACTTTACATGCCTGAGCCCTTATTGCCACTCACACGGCCACGATCCTGACTCCCACGGTGAATACCCACAGGGAGATGATGTGACTAGAGCAGGGAGGAGGTAACAGAAAGAGAACTTCACTTAAAAAAAAAAATTGAGTAAATTCCCCTTACCCATTTTACAGCATCCAGAAACAGAGGCACAGCGAGGCTTTTAGCTACTGCAGAGGCCATCCAGGCTACTGTGGTCCTTCCAATGCTCCTCGCAGCAGCAAAAACCTTCCAGAAGCTCCTCTGGAGCGCCAGCACCGTTAGTCCCGGTTTCCCCAAGGAGGTCCCAAGGAATAAGGGCTGAATCTTCAAGGTCTGAATGCCTTCCAGTGTTTTCAGGAGAGATGTGGGAGTATTCACACCATACAAACTCTAGAGATCTAACTTGGACCACCTACAGGAAACAACGGGCCACACAGCCTACAGCCCCTTGAAAGCAGAAGCTAGACATCCCACGTTCTCCACCAACCTGGGACACCCAAGTTTTGTGTTCAAACGCAATGAGGATGCCCCCCCTTCCCAGAGTCACATAAAAACCTCTGACAGTCCTCACACCAGACCCCAGGGGTGTACTAGCCCCAGAGAGCATGGCTACACCCTGTCACACAGTCCAGACAGCAGCCCTGGTACAAGCCCTGGGCTCTCTGCAGACACTGAGCTCCATACCCACAGCTGCACCCCAGAGGAACCCCTTCTCCTCATGGCTTTGGATTAACCTGGTTTGGAACAACAATGTCATAAAATGTTTAGATTGGAAGGGACCTTAAAGCCCCCCCAGTGCCACCCCCTGCCCTGGGCAGGGACACCTCCCACCACACCAGGTTGCTCCAAGCCCCCTCCAACCTGCCCTTGAACCCCTCCAGGGATGGGGCAGCCACAGCTTCTCTGGCCAACCTGGGCCAGGCTCTCACCACCCTCCCACCAAACAAGTTCTTCCCCACATCTCAGCTCCATCTCCCCTCTTTCAGGGTCAAACCCTTCCCCCTCCTCCTAGGGCTCCCCTCCCTCATCCAGAGTCCCTCTGGTCCCAGCTTTCCTGGAGCCCCCCTTCTTTAGGGACTGGAAGGGGCTGGAAGGTCTCCCCGGAGCCTTCTCTTCTCCAGGCTGAACTCCCCCAACTCTCTCAGCCCCCCTCTCATGTCCACACTTATCTTGTTCTCAGGGGACACTGCCTCTTGCCACAAAACTGTCTTGTGCAATATCAAGTCCACTTCAATATCCTTTCTCTCTCTCCACCGTGGGACCCATCCCCAACCAACTCCTGCTCCCAGCAGCCCACAGACATCTGTTATGGGCACCAGTCAGCTGGACCCCAGCAGAGCCAGCAGCCTGGGTGCCAGGGCTTGCACCCAGCAGGACATCACACATCAGGTCCTGGGGAGAAAACCATGCCTGCCTTTGTCTTTGCAGAAGATCCTTGGAAACCAGCTTGCAAATAAAGGCATGGCCCTGTTAGAGCTGTCTACCCCAGCCCAGACTCATTGTCCAAGGCTCCCTCTGGGGTCAAGTGGGCACAGAAGGCAGGAGAAAGGCCCTGCTGACCTCCACGTGGGATACAAGACATTGCTCCTGACACAAAGCCCCGGTTATCCCAGCCTCCTCCCAATTCCTGCATCACCTTTGCTGTCCGAAGGGGAACCTGTGCTGTGTCTGTGCTGGCAGGGCATTTATCTGACTCTGGAACTTGAGCCTGGCCCAAGAATGGCCAAAGTCAACCTCGAAACAGTGAAATTCCACTGCACCATAAAAAAAAAAAATAATAATAAAAAAAAAGAATTAAAAATACAGCTTCAGGAAGAGCCTGGGAGAACACTGCAACATCTCCAAACAGCGAAGCGGTGGGAGGGGGTCCCCGCGGGCATCACTCAGAGTGGGTTGAGCTCCTGGTGGGACAATGTGCTTGATGCTGGTACCACCAAGACCACAGTGATCGCTCTCCCTGTGCAGGAGGGAGCTGCGAGCTTTGGGCCGATGTCCTTTCTTCTTTTACAACCCAAAGAGATGAGGGTGCAGCACACAAACCCCCCCACCGCCTCGCCGGGGATGATTTCTTGCCACGCTCCAAGAAACAGCTCAGTGATGCACCAAGGGACAAGGGAGGGATCTCCACGCATCCCAGGAGCTGCTGGATCCCAAGGCAGAGTCAGATGAGGTTCCTCCAGGGCACCAGAAGAAACAAGCTGAGGGACCAGTGATAAAACCCATCCCTTCCTATGCATGAGCACAGCTCTCCGGAACAATCCTACCGCAGCGTTATCACCCGAGCCCTGCACCAACATCCTCACTCCCGAGAAAACCTGCACCAGCAGTTAAGAGACTCGGTCTCCTGAGCTCCTGATATGAAACCAGCCTTCTGCAGGATCCAGCAGGGAAACTGGTGGCAGTACGTCCAGGGATAGCGTCCCTCTATCGCCAGCGAAGCCACAAGCCAGGCTGTTCGACTCCAAAGGTGGAGGGCAAGAAGAAATAATCAGTTACACTTTATTCTACTACCCCGTAGCTAGAAGAAATTCTTTAAAGACTTAACTATTCTGGGAAATTTTTGTCATTTCTCCCTTCATTACTGCTGTACGTCAGGCTATAAAAGCAGAAAAATATTGTGAGTTATTTCTCCTGGGAAATTAAAATGGGCTGTTGAAGAGGCTCCTCGCATTCCTGCTACCCCGCAGGGGAAAAAAAAAAAAAAGAGCTGCTGGTTAAAAGGATACGCTTCATTACCCACCCTTGCTGGCTACTGCTCCGTGTGTACGAGCCTGGGGACACCTCAGAAGCCAGTGGTCTGGGCTGGTGTGTCCTTTATGGGATGGCAGTTGAGTCAGAGCACGGGAAGGTAGGGTGGATGCTAACCAGGACAGAAATAAAACACACAGAGGGCTGGGAAGGCTTAACGTCAGGCTCAGACAGGCTGCGACTGGCAGGTGGCAGGAAACAGGGAGGGTGGATGGATGGATGGATGAGGATGCAGCACAAAGCCCAGCTGTGCCACCCCTGCCTTCGCTGCGGTGTCAGGCAACGTGAGATGGGAGGGAGAGCGCAGCGTGTCTCACAGCTACACCATAAACACCTGCAGATGCTGCTTCACCCTCCCTCGGCCCCCAAATAACGAGCATCTGCTAGATCTCCACCAGCCTGAATAAGAAAAAAAGCCCGTCTTGAAAAGCTGGGCACCACCAACTGTTGGCCAAATATCCCTACTTGGTTTAGGAGAGGGGGAAAGCGATCCGGGGAAAGACAAATCACTGCTCGGACTGGATGGATGGAAAACCACAGATGGAGCTGGCAATAGAAGTACTGAAATGACACCCAGAGTGCATCCTTCCAGTTGAGGGCACTTTGGGGAAAGGCAGCGCCAGAGCTAACATCTGCCTCTTTCCATAAATAACCAAACCCATGGAGAGCTGCAGGATGGACCACAGCTCCCACTGGAGATGGTGCCTGCTGCCAGAAACTGGAGCGCTCAGTAGTAACCTCTCATTTGGATGGAAACCAGCTTGGTTCCCCAGCCGAGCTGGGGTTTGGTGGGAACAAAAAACATGCTGTCACCTCCTGGCCCAGCCTCTGGGTCAACAGCAGCAGCGGTTCCACCACCTGAACATCTCGAAGACCATCTCCACCGGCTCAGAACTTAACACGTAACACGGAGGAGTTGCCACCAGGAGATGACAGGAGAGTGATGACTTGTGAAGGTCAGTGCAATGGTAACAAAACCTCGTCCCTCCTTCCCTCTGGTTTCCATTTCCAAGGAGTCAGCTCCCACGTGTCTGCAATGTGACTTCCAGCTGATCTGGGGCGGGGAGGATGCAGCAGAAAGCAAGGACTTTGTCCTTTGGTAGCCACCTGTGCTTCTAGCACGGCTGCTTCTGCTGACATATCGTGTGTATTTGCAAAAATAAATTAAACCAAATTTGAGATGCGCTCGGAAAGGCAGAGTTGTGTAACAGCTTGTTTCCCACAGGCTTGGATGGCTGCTCAGAATGTTCATGGTCACATGGTAATTCCAAAATCACTCTTGTTATTATTTTCATCAGCGAGTTAACCCTGTACAGGCTGAAGCGACCTGCTGCAGCCGCTACAGACAGCAACCTCTGAGAACACCAGCAGCTAATGGGCCACTTGGCAAAGCTTCTGCAAAGCCACCCTGCCCAGAAAACGTTTCCAAGGCTTGTACCCCTCCACCGGCTTCCTAACCTCTGGAAGCAATTACTTCCTCCAGGCACTACTTACAAGGGTTTGATTATTTCTATAGGGTGCTCCCAGACATCACGGGTGACAGGGAGGAAGAAGAGAGCGGCCGCTTTTGGTCAGAAGGTCTGTGAGGCAGCAAGGTCCCAGCTCTGGGGGGCCTTTCCAGCAGATTTAGATGGGTGTCTGTCCAAGCTAAAGGTGGTGGGGCCATCACCAGAGAGAAGGTGATGGAATTCAGTGGATTTTTACATTCTTCATTTGCTAAAGAGGAGGAAACATTATCATTTGATGTAAAGACACCCATACGTCAGGGGGAGAAGACAGACATGAGCAAAACTCTGAATGTGAAACTGATTGTTCCCTAAGTAAGGGAATTAATGGAAATCAAAAGATTGAGAACGCTGGACAAGACAGAAGGGGAGAGACTCATGTCACAGCCCACCTATTCAAGTCCTAGAACAAACCGTGTAACATTAAAATAGCCATTTAGGAAAGGTTTCCGCTCAAGACTCAAGGCCAGGCTACGCTTTATGTCCATAAATCATGCCAGGGGGTAGCAGGACTCAGTACTGTGGGCAGCCAGATCACTGGACCTCACCTTAATGCTACTGAGGAGCTCAAGAGTGGGGTTAAGAGATGTAGTCCAACTGCAGTGGAGCAGGAGCCCTAGGGGGACACACCAGAAATCACAGCGGTTCTGCCACCGGTGGCTCTCAGCCTTGTAGGGGCTACAGGAGTAACCAGCAAAACACCATCCCCTTTCTCAAAAGAAATCGATCTCACCTATTTTTAATAAGAAAAAGAGAGGCTGGGCTCGCTCTAGGCTTTGCTCCAAAGATGAGAGGGGATTTTGCACTGGTGGGACAGTGGGCACTCTTCATCTCAGACCAGGGAAGTGCTCGGAATCAGGGCTTTGGCTGACTGATGGACAGGAGATTTTGCTTGTGTAACCAGAAAAGCAAAAGATTCTCAGTACCTACGTGCAACAGAAATCAAGAGGTGTGCTTCAACCTGCCAGCCTTGTCTCCAGGCTCCCAGACGACACTGGAAGGGAGATTCAGACGTGGTGCAAATGGCAATTATGTAAGGGATTGGCATTTTGGTGATTAATTTGAATTTGGCCTCCTTTCCACGGAGAACGATTTCATTCTTCAGGTCAATACACGAAGTGACAGTGCTCTAATAACCTTTGTTAATCCCCATACAGTATATAAGTATTTAAGGTGTGTCCTTATATATAGTAATCAATACCTCTGAACGCTAAGGACACGTATTAAGTGCCCTTAATTTATAGCCCTTGCAGTAGCTCAGCTAAAGCTCTCGCTGCCTGTCAGGAGCCCACAGTTCAGAAATGCTTTTTGCAACCAGCTCTCCCTGAAACCTGATGTTTTCCCTCTTGGCACGTCAAACCAGCTGATCTGCCAAGTGACCTCATTTGAGGAGGAGGAGGAGGAGGAGGAAGGGAGATTCTCAGCTACCGCTTACCACTGGCTCAATGGTGAAGATGTCATCGGAGAAAAGCATGGAGTCTCCCTGCACCTTTGCTCTCTGGTTCTGGAAGGTGTGGGAGAGAAGGGAAAGGTGTTCTTGGAGAGTGGGGTCCACCCTGCACTCCTGGAGAAAAGAATCCATCTGGTCCTCCTCCTGCCTCTGCAGCCTGCAGCCACGGGGAGAGACAAACCGAGCAGATAATTCAATAACCAACATATTTGCAGAGACTGTCGTGGAAGTGCAGGGGCAGCAACGCACACAGGGAGGAACAGCAGCAGCTCAGCAAGGGACTGACCCCGAGCCATGGGGACCAAATGGGTCAGAACATCACTTGTTGTACGCTGGGGGGTTTAACCCACGCTTATAAGCTTAGAGTCATGGAATGGTTTGGGTTGGAAGGGACCTTAAATCCCCCCCAGTGCCACCCCCTGCCCTGGGCAGGGACACCTCCCACCACACCAGGTTGCTCCAAGCCCCCTCCAACCTGCCCTTGAACCCCTCCAGGGATGGGGCAGCCACAGCTTCTCTGCCCAACCGGGCCTCCCACCACCCTCCCACCAAACAAGTTCTTCCCCACAGCTCAGCTCCATCTCCCCTCTTGCAGGGTCAAACCCTTCCCCCTCCTCCTGGGGCTCCCCTCCCTGATCCAGAGTCCCTCCCCAGCTTTCCTGGAGCCCCTTGAGGGACTGGAAGGGGCTGGAAGGTCTCCCCGGAGCCTTCTCTTCTCCAGGCTGAACCCCCCAACTCTCTCAGCCCCCCCTCCCAGCAGAGGGGCTCCAGCCCTCCCAGCATCTCCGGGGCCTCCTCTGGCCCCGCTCCAACAGCTCCATGTCCTTCTGCTGTTGGTGGCCCCAGAGCTGGAGGCAGCACTGGGGGGGTCTCCCCAGAGCGGAGCAGAGGGGCAGAATCCCCCCCATCCATCCCTCTCCCTGCTGGCCACGGGGCTGGGGATGCAGCCCAGGGTGTGGGGGGTTTCTGGGCACCCCCACAGGTTGCTGGGACATGTGGAGCTTCTCCTCCACCAACACCCCCAAGTCCTTCTCCTCAGGTTTTATGAGAGCTAACAGCTCTGGAGAGAATGACCTGGCTCAAAGCTATGACTGATGGAGAAGCCAACAACAACCTCAACTGGCTTTTCTTACCAGGGATCTGCTTGTTGGAGGCAGATAAAGACCGAGGAGCACCCAAGGCAGTGCTGCACTGGGAGGAGGTGAAGCAGCTGGGTTTCTGCTGCAGGTTACCAGCATCACTCTTTTATATTCCCTTTTTGTACCCGCAGGGTTAAGCAAACAATTCCTGCTCTCTGTTCCCTACGCTGCCTTCCACCAGAGGATTCCAGAGCACTTCAAAAATCAAACTAATGAATTCAGGCATCGCATCACCTCAGTGAAATTAAGGGTTTCACACTCATGAGAACAGAGGCCCTGAGAAAGGAAGGCTCTTTCCCTGGCATCCCCCAAACAAAGAAGGCAGGACCAACACCTCTGAATCCAAACCTTTAATTACAGCCTTGAACCACCTTTTCTTTTTCCTTTTTGGCCTCCCTCTGCAGAGCTGGGACGCAGTTAATCTCTCCCTTCCTTGGTGGCTGTAACAGAAATCATTCTGGTGTTTAAAGCTCACAACCAGGAGATGAGAAGCCACGGAGCAGTTGATTCCTGGCTGGCATATTGCTGTCCCCCCTTCACGCTCCACTCCCCTGGCCATGAAGAACCAGCAGGTGACAACTCTGGGCTGGGGAGGGGGGGATGAGTGGAAGGCTCCATATGCAGCAAAGGGAGGCAGCGTGGTATAAACAGGAGAGCGATCATCACCCGGCTAAATCCAAATACAATTAGAAAGGAAACCCAGTCGTGGCCGTTACTGGCTGCACACAGACAGAGCCTGGGGCAAACGCTGTCACCAGCACCAAAAATACTCACTTTGGCTTAGTTCCCCGTGGAGCGCGATAGGAAACGTTTCTCCACAGCTGACCTGCAGTGTTGAGCATCAGGGGGGGCTTCCAACCACCAAGATGAGTGACCCTCAACTCTACCTCCATCAGTGGACAATAATTCCACCATTACATTGTAGAGAGAGAACAAACCCCTAGATAGATCTTCTAATGATCTGGATTTTTTTAGATCCTGCACTGCCTCCCCCCACGGAAGTCCTCCTTGCTCTGAGACCTCCAAAGCTTCTCCAAGCAGGAGCCTTGGAGCTAGGATCATCCCTAAGACTTCCAAGCTAGGAAGAACAAAACGTCCTGGTCAGTGCCTAAACTGGCATGAGATCAAATGTAATTAAGATAAAAAAATAGGTTGAACTCTTACTGCAGAGAAACCTGGTTGCTTCTGATGGGAATGAGGATCACTCAGGGGCCAGACTGAGACAGGCAGGTGGGAAGAGGTGGTGAAGGAATGGTCCAGGGAAGAAACAGAAGAAGGTCATGAGATTTTAACACACTGAGCTTCCACAAAAGTCACACAGTGTGTAATTAAAAATACAGAACAGTGGAAAACTAGCTTTGGCCTTCGAGGCATTTCTGACCTAATTAAGTTGAACTTTATTTGCTCAGAAGCCCTTAAAAAGTGCTCCTGTTTAAGGCAGTTTCCTGATCAGAACCCTGATGGGTTCAGACTAACTCCAGACACCTACTTCCAGCCAAGTCACACAAGGATCCCCTAAATCATCCAAGATCAAGTGTCATTTCCAATTTCCCAGCCCTGAGCTGTAAGTGTTTCTCTGCTGCCTGAAATGGGAATTTCAAAGCTTTGGTAAAGACACCCTCAGAAGATCCTGCCCCATCTCTCGCCACCACGGAGACACAGGCTGGTGAAGCCCACATGCACTTCCAGGTCCTGTGCTGCCCTACCTTCCCTGCAGAAACCTCCACCTCTAAACTCTCCCCAGCCTCTAAGAAAGGGCAGAAATACCTCGTGCTGGAAACTGGGACAGTCCAAGGCAGTTCAACATCCTACACCAGGATGGCCTCAAGTTTCTGGGCCAATAAAGCCCTCTACCCTGCGCGTCACTGGAAAAGAAGCCTACATCTCATCCAAGCTGGAGTGGAAGGAACTCTAACTATCATAATAGTTATGTTACCTGCAGAACTATTAAGTGACATTAAGTCCCAGATAACAAGTCCTAACACTTTCATCAGCCTCATGGACCCTCTGCAGCCCAGGGATCTCTGGACTTCGGTGGCTTGTGGTCCCACAAAACACACATTCGCTATCCAGTCACTGCAATCAAACTTTCCTGCCCAAAACGTCATCCTCAGCTGGAGTTTGGGTAGAACTGGGTTGGGAAGTGCTGAGCACCGTTACCCTGAAGCTCAGGGACATCCACCCTGACACTGAGGAGGGTTTACTTCTCCTAAACCATTCAAAAAAGACCAACACCCCTCCAAGGCCATAGGTTAGTTTTACCCTTGGGCGCTGTATCTTACTGAAACAAATCTTTCCAACGAACCTCAGCTTCTGCTGATCCTCCTCTTCCTGGGTAACAAAAGCCTTCCACTGGAAGTGGGCTATGATTTCACTCCGGTTGTGGATGACCACGGACCTGTGGTTTGACAGCGTGAGGTAAGTCTTCTCAACTGTCAGAGAGTTCCTGTCGAGCCTGATGTTGACATCTACAGCTGCTCCATAAAGGCTTGTGTGAACGTCTTCACCTGGAACAAAGCAAAGGGGAGTCTTTGCTCATCTCGCTGGATGATGGAAGTAGGAGGAACAGAGCAAAGCACGAGGAACAGAAGGAAACGTTATAGCTCTTCCATGAATCTGCACATTCATCACATCCTGGTAGCTGCATGTGTGCAGCATGAGGATGTCCTGGACACCACCCTAAGTACCTTATTCCTGGGGGTGTTTGTAGAGATTTATCCCCAAGGTGACTGTATTTACAGTGACATTTTTGTAGATGTACCCAGGTAGCCCTTGGGTTGCCATCCCCCTCATGTCACAGGGAGTTCAGGTGACTCTGAGGAGTCCCACCTCAGTCGCAGCTCACCCAGGGTCTCCTGCAGCCACACCACCAGCGTTTTGTCTCTCCTGATCCCCTGCTGCTGACAAGCAAAGATGCCCAGGGGCACGCGGGCAGAAAAGGGAGGTTCAGAGGAACAAGCGAAGTGACAGCCCACAGCAGGATGGGACACAGATGGGAACTTCACTGTGTTGTAGCAGCAGTGCCCTCACCTGCCATGGATTTGTGAAGATATGCCAAAATGAGCATGGTCTACACCAACCTGCCCATTGCAGACCAGCAAGCCCATTTCTTCAGCCTCATCCCGTCGCCCAAATGAGCAAGTCTACACTGAGCACTCCCAAGCTATTCAATGACCTCCAGAGCGAGGACATCTTTGGTTTCCACCTCAGACAGAGCTGGCCCCTGGCCATGCACATCAACTCATTAACAACTACAGCCTTCTGGACTACCTGCCAGAATTCTACCCTCCAGAACAGGCTTCCACCAAAGGCTTCCTCATTTCCAGAGCTTTCAAACCTTCATTTTTCCCAACCAAGTAACTCCTGGGAGTCAACTGAGCTCCAGCTTCAGTACCAAGCCCACTCTTCCGGTTGCAAGTGAGTGTTTCCCAGGTGAGATGCAAACACCAAATACCAGAGATGCTTTGGAGAAGGTCATGGCCACTCTAAATCACTAGAAATGGCATTTCTTTGAAATGGTGCATAAAGTCTCAGAGCCAGCCCCAGCTGATGAGTGCAGCAACCTGGCCATATCCTGGTGAGCATCCCTCCTCATCTCCTCACTGCATAGGTTGCAGCAAGGCCACCAGCAGATAGACCTGCTTTTAAAAGGCTACCAAGCAACAACCCAAGGAGACAGATGGATAGGTGCTGGATGGACTCCTTAAATCCAAAGCCAGCCAACACAGCAGAATCATGTTTGCTCTGGAAAGAGAAAGTCCCCTCTTTGAGGAGGTGCTGGGGAATGAAGCAAGTCTCACCCTTTACAATTGCAGATCTCTACGGTCATCCATTCGTTCATTTCCACACATGGAGAACTCAGCCTTCATGCCTGTATAACCCTTGATTTCTCTGCTCGTAGGTTGCCTGGAGAGGTACGTATTTAATGGCCAGAGATGAGTTACGCCGCGAGAAACCCAGCAACGTTTCCAACGACTGAACAATATGCTTTCTATAGTGGAGAATTTAGTATATAAAAATAACTGAAGTCCAGAAGAGTTACGGGGGCAGCTATGCTTTACAAGCATTGCCTTTCCCCTCCACTGAATCCTCGGCACACCTGGGCAAGCAGAGGAGCAACCCAAGGAACGGGAGATGCACACAGTGCTTCGAGAATGCAACACGACCTGATGCTCTACAACCATCAAGAGGACAAACTACTACAAAATAAACACCACAACAAAACTACCATCATCTCACTGTCTGAAGCCATGGCTGCATGGGTGTTGAAATATTGGGTATCGTTCTGATCTCAAAAGCCAAGCTGAAGCATCTGAAATTAAATGGAGAAGGGCAGAAAGAATGATTAAAAGCATGGAGCACCTTCTGTATCTTCAACAAGGGCAAGTGTAGGGTGCTGCACCTGGGGAGGAAGAACCCTCTGCACCAGGACAGGTTGGGGGTGACCTGCTGGAGAGCAGCTCTGAGGAGAAAGACCTGGGAGTCCTGGTGGACAACAGGGTGACCATGAGCCACCAATGGGCCCTTGTGGCCAAGGCCAATGGCATCCTGGGGGGCATCAGGAAGAGTGTGAGCAGCAGGTGGAGGGAGGTCATCCTGCCCCTCTGCTCTGCCCTGGGGAGGCCCCAGCTGGAGCACTGGGACCAGTGCTGGGCTCCCCAGTTCCAGAAGGACAGGGAACTGCTGGAGAGGGTCCAGCAGAGAGCTACAGAGATGGTGAGGGGCCTGGAGCATCTCCCTTCCGAGGAGAGGCTGAAGGACTTGGGTCTTTTTAGTCTGGAGAAGAGAAGGCTGAG